CTTTTTTGAGTTTTCATTTGTATTGGAAAGAGCAAATTGAGTTTTTTGTTTTACTGTATCACTCAGTTTGACATTCTGATGAAAGTGGATACTCCATGGTGAAAAATGCTGTGGGCCCATACTGATTTACACTGTGCAAAATTATTCTTAAGGACTTTTTACTCCTAAGTGGCTATGGCGACTTAAGACTCATTTTCACAGAGTGGGTCACAAATTACACTGCTCGAAAAAAGCCTACTGCTGCATCAGATGACTAAAATAACGATATTACATCAGACTTCTTGTTTCCATTACAAAAGCTGTGTTGGCGTTCAGTGTTCGACATACGAAGCAAACTATTGGACAGAGAGAACCCCCTCCGCCTTTGTGTTGGTCATTGTTATACTGGTATCTCAGGAATTCTTCTCAGACATTGGGGGGATGTGTTAAGTGACAATAGGCTGGAGTGTGTATAGGGATTGGACTTGTTGGGGGGTACCCCTCTGTCCAATTTTGTGCCTAGTATAGCGTTCGGCCCTGAAGAATTATACGAAGTAAGATATGGGACAGAGGGGTACCCCCTACATGTCCAATCCCTATACACACTCTAGACCATTGTTACCTAATACGTCCCCCTAGATGTCTGAAAAGAATTCCTGAGATTCCGATCAAACAATGACCAATGCAAAGGTGGGGGTGATATCAGTCCCATATCTCGCTTCATATGTGAACAATAAGCAAAGCTATGTGGAGAGAGTAAACATACAGAAGTGAGAAATGATTACATTTGTTCGCCGAACGACTGTCCAACTTTTTTCCATCCATGAACGATTGCCCTGAAAGGTGATAGAACCGTTTACGGAATGCTGGGGGGGGTACGGTGCGTGGGCGGGGTTTTCCCGCCTTCCTAAAGTCCACCACACAGTACCTTTATTAAATTTGAAATACAAAAACATATGGAGAGCACCGCTTGTCGGATTCAATTTTAGTGCTAAAATCTTCCACGATCGATTGTTTTTGCCACATCCAGGTGTCATGGTTCATCATGAAAAAATACTCTCCTTTGGGGACATAAACTTTCCGTCGGAGTAGTCACGTTCGGATAGCTTTTCAACTCGTTCGGTCTGGTAACCCACGCAAGTCCCCGTTGCTCGCGCAATACCTGTTTAAAGGGCACACCATCATCGCGTAAGACACTAAATTGGAGGGATGCTGTTTGTCAAGCTCTTAGCCAGGAGTGTCAACCTTAAATCAAGTTGTAAATGAGCCTTAACGCGAACAAACCCATGTAGTAAATCCCATCAACCTGATCTGTGTGGAGGTGTTCACGCGCTCATTGCAGAACGGTGAGAATTACGACGGTCAGGAAGTAGATGCACACAGCACTTATTGGTTTGTAAATGTTTCATTACTCGAAACCGCTCCGCCTTTCTATGTTGGTGTTAGCTTTTCTTGGTGGTGTTTACGCCTTGTGTCGCCTGTGCGATCATTTCCAATACCCCGCCACTGCTGATTTTAAACTCAAACCAACCACCGACGTGGGGGGATGACTGTTAACCAATGCTGCAGGGAAATACACGCACTAAAATTCTTCTGAATGGAATAATTCAGAATTATCACATTGCCTATGTCTTGGGCCTACTGCGTTTCAAAAATTTTATGCTTCAAAGTCTAGTTTCTTTTAAAATTATTATGATATTTGCCCCTCCTAATCTGTTGGTTTTACTTGCCTTTCGTCCACGGTTCTTTGTCCCCGTTTGTCGCCGACATCGTCACTGACAAAAGAAATATCATCCTAATCCTTCAATTTCCATACAAATTAAACGTAAAACAACTGAATTTAATTGAACACCAGTCAGCCAGGGACGGTCCCTAAACCAGCTTCCTGTCAAAAGCGTGACATGTCCAGTCTTTGGTCTTTTCTTCCATTTTTGTCTTCCATTCATTCCTCAATTCCTTTCTCACTTTCATGTCTACAAACCGATTTCCCTGGACTCTTTCAACCCCCGTCCATGTCTTACAGGTTTTTCCTCCTTTTGTAATCAGCCCGCGTGATTTCTCCAGAGTCCTCTCATCCTTCATCTTAATTCCATCCTACCCATCTCGACTATCCTCTCCACACTTCCTCTTTACGCGCTCCACTTCGCCCGCGAGTTGCCTCGGTATTAGAATATGACATGGCTCCAGACGCGCGCCAATTCCACTACAGAAAATGGAGCCCCGCTGTCTGAACATCCATCCAATCATATCGTCATCATCAACAAAGAATTAGCTTGTCAGGCTCCTTTCCCCAGGGAGCGGCCACTAATTTTTTTCTCCCAAAGCCACTACCAGTGTCTTTTTCAACTCCCGGGGCCAACCTAATGGACCTGGTGACGCACAGTTGTGCTTAGCGGAGAAAGAGATGCGCTTAACAACTGTGGGTGACCAGCCAGAAAAGTCATGAGACAGACAATATTGTGGTTGGTCCCTAGGTGACTCTTAATCAGAGAGGAAAATTCGCTATGCATTTTTTTTATAAGAACCTCTGCATTCACGAAGACAGCACTCTAATTCGACGCTCATAATTTTCTCTCCTAGTACGAAATCCGAGCCTTACCGATGGATTCGAAAAAGCTGGGGAAGAAAAAAATGCAAAAAAACCCCAAAAAAACCCCAAAAAACCAAGGTTTTATTTGCATGATTTTCAGTTCGGTTGTTTTAATTCCGATTTCAATTTCTTTCCCAAATCAGAACAAAGTTATTTTGACATTGGTTTCCTGCCCACCAACCATTTGTACATCAAGAATCCAGAATGCCGATTGGGATATGAACTGAGCTTTTTGGACGTGACGATGCTACTGAGGAGAACAATAGAGATGACCTCTCTGTGTGCTCTGGGGTCATCGCACTTAATAGCACTCATTTGTGTCAGGAGGGAAGACAAAGGCCGCTTGCCCCACCCCAAAAATATGACAAAAGGAGGGAAGGATAAGGGAAAACTACGAAAAAAAAGAGAGATGAAAGGGTATGAAGATGGGCGATTTTCTTGAAAAGGAAAAAGCAAAAACAAAGCAAAACAAACAAACAAACAAACAACCCAACAAACAAACAAATAATCGAAATTTACCTATTCCCCTGTTAATGGTTTATCAGTCCGTTGCTGACGACTGCCTAGTTCACCCCCCCCTTCCCCCGGGCAGAAAAAAAACCTAGCCAAACCCACGTTGCACTCCATCAAATTAATTTGCTACGTGCACACCCATGGACATCGTGATTGATGCTACATTTTTTAACGCCTTACAAAGGTCATAACTCATCAAGGCTATTCAAGTTTTTGAATCCAATGAGCCTCGACTTGGACCAAGGGAGGGCGCAATTTTCTTAGCAATGGGGGCTCTTTTGGTCGGAACTGAACTTCGCGTTGAGGTCGATCGCATCGCTACCAATAAAAAGAAGCACTCCTGACAAGAATGGCTCTTTTAAATCGACGAGGGGTGCTTCTGCTCGAGGTGGATATAGTAGCTACAAAGGCTGCTACTGATTCCCTTTTTTCATTTTCCAGCGACATATAAGTAGAATTCTCATTCAAACAAGAGCAACTCTTGACTCTTACACAAATCCAGTGGAGAAGTTCAGTTAGGCACTTACCCACCCCTCACCCCACAACCAATTCTCAGGGCCGGTTGGCTCCCAGTACACAGTATTTTTTCTATTCAAGGGAATAAGTTAAACAGGAATCATAACATCAGTATCAATGGAGAACGTATTTGCTTTCTACTCCTCTTAAATTAATGTAAGAATAGTGCTTGGCATCCCTTTAAAGTTACTTATGTTAAAACGTTACTTCTTAATGTGCACTTTGAGTTTCGCACATTTTTCCTGGCGATCGAGGGCGCTATTACTGTGATGTCATTTCACGTGGACACTGCTCATAACAAAATGTTTTCAATTCAAATTTTAGACCCAACATTTACTCATCGAAAACATCTCTCAGACAACTTTGCGTACTGGTCTGGTGTCTAGACTGAATCATAATGGAATCAGTAGCAAAAAAAGAACATTTCAGGCAGCAAAAATAATCGATTTCCTGGTAAATCTTGGTGCTTAAATGTAACATTGGGGATTCTTCCTAAAATGGCATAATTTTTCTCGCTCAGGAATATACAATTCGCATCCGCATAAAATCCCTTAAAGTACCAACGTTCGTTTATAGTGAATCTTTCATTTAGTATACATGATCTTGCACTGGTGCAATCCAATCCGAGGGACACTTCTGCACAACTTCCAGAAATGTGATTACCAAGGTATGAAATTGTAGTGAGGCAATTTCTCTCATTTTTTTTCATCAACCTATCTGCCTGGAGAGGGGCCAGACGGCTGGAAAGGAGATTAAGAGAAGTGGCAGGGCAAAACCGAACGGACATTTTACTCTTATGGCATACTCGACTGTGATAGATGGGACTTGGGGTAATAACGGAAAAACCGAAGTCACCCTCTGCCTCTATTTCGCGTTGATTTATGCCGCTGCGCGCTACAGTGGACGCAAGGGGCAAGATATCATCTATAGAAGCCAGTAACTGAGCGAAGCGCATGTATAAATAATCCTTCTCTTGGTCAGAATCCCTCTACAACCACATCGATTCATTTCCTCAGATGCAACTTTGATTAAATTCCGTTCTTGCTTTCAGATATTTCAAATATTTGGTACATGCTTTCATACCATTACCTTGCAATGCGAAGTTCCACTTATGTGGATATTATGTACATTTTGAAGTTAATGGCGTCAGTTGGAAATTCATCTTCTAAAGCCCAATAAATGTTGTAGATTCTTTTTCTCAATACTAGCTAATGATTCTTTAGGATAAATTAATGGCTAATGGTATCATATGCGATAACTTTAAAAACAAAAGGCCAAAAGTGATTATTCAAATTTCAAAGTCATGACACGAGGAGTATAAAAAATGTTGTTCTTACACACATTTTGTACACCCGCACAGGGTGCAAATTTATTATGATATCGATTAAAACTAAAATCCGGCCAAGTTTTGATTTCCAAATTAACAGTGTTGGCTTCAGAAGCTGTTTTCTCTTGTTAATAAAGTTAAAAATGCTAACCATAAGGACAGAGTAGACATACTAGGGAATATATGAAGCAAATCGTATAGACAACAGTTTGTAAACATGTTCAAATACTTCCAATAGTTTCTAAACACCATTAAAAAGTGAAAGCAAGATTGTGCTTAAATGTTATACACGGTTGGTGAGAGGGATCCAAAAAGGTAACCCTCGAGCACAATTTCTACAAAAGTTAAACACTCCTTGGCCCTTGCCAACTGCTGCGAAATCTCTGTGCACCAACACCGAGTATAATTTGTTTGAAACGATGCTCGCGTCCGTCTGTTTGTGCTGCAAATGTTGTAATTGAGTTCTTCATCGCAATTCAAATTTATTCATTAATTAACCCAACACCGCCCAAGGGAGTTTTGCTGACCCGTCTCTGAATATTTCGTGGTTCACATGCAGATTACGGTAAGATTGAATTGATAGCTTTATATGAGGCTGTACCTGCACGAGAAGGGTAATTACCTGAAATGAAGATGCTTTGAAGCATGAAATGCATTTATTATACTTCGAAAAGAATATGATGGAGTATGTAACACCCCATCTTTCACTCAGGCGTGGCAAAGTTCTGTTGCAGTCCCATTTTATGCTCTGTCTTACACGAGAGTTCATGAGTCCAGCACACTCGTTAGTAAGATTCATATCACATAATATACGACCTTATTGGGATCTTCGTATGTTGTGTGACGTTTGGACACAATGCATGTTTGAAGTTGAAAGAACAGAAAAAGAATTCAAATGTTTGGCCACTTGTATTGAGAGGGCCAAGTATTAGTGTTTTAAACGTGACCGTAATCTTTCAGAGGAATCGGTGTGAAATCCATTAATATCCCCGGCAGAATAATCGCTTATCTTGGAAATAACTATCTCAAGGTAGAGGAGCTGAAATAAAGCTTCCCCTTTCTCATCAGATTTTCGTTGATAAGACAAATACAAAAAGTGTCAACTGATTCAGAAGATTAGATGACTTTTTTTAGCAAATTAAAACCGAGAATGAGCCAGAAATAAATGGCAAATAGACCAACCAACACCTTTGACTTAGTTTTCCACGATGTATCCCATTGGGTATTGAATACAAATTTCTTCAGCTGATCAAGCGTCGGGAACGGGTCATGCGACGGGGTATAGACATGCAGCTTTTTCCAACTTCAGTCACACTTTATTTTTGGATTATAATTGTGATAACCTGCAATGTAGTATAACAGGACCTTAATGCTGTTTGAGGTCTTGTGCTTCAGACGAGAGCGCAACATCGTGTCAGGGAGAGGTTCCCCACGCTTGTGTGTGTGACATTCACACTTTCGTCCGCCCCTCGCCGCACCAGGATAACAGTGTAAGGCTCATGAATCACCTGCCCCAAACCTGAACGAAATTTAATAGACTGTTTGAACTAACGTCACGTTTCTCTCACACATCTCCTCGACTCGCCATCTTTGGGTCCTTGGTCTATGGTGTCACATCGTGTCTGGTAAGGGTGTTGTTATTCTGAGGAATAACAGCCAACAACCCCAGCCACCTAATGGCAAAAACACATGAATGCAAGTACTTAAAAAAAAATTAGTTGCAAATTTTGCCTGGCACAAAGAAAATATAGCTACTATCAAGATTAGTGGCGTCACTACGCAGGGGAGGGTCAGGGGGGCACGTGCCCACCCAGATTATGCCGGTGCCCCCTTGGTGCCCCCATTTGAACTCTGTGACTATAATCTCCGTTGAAATGTAGCTGCAGCTTATTTTCTTATGGTGCCCCCTTGAAAAAATGTGGGCTGCCCCCGCCCCCCCCCCTGATAAATAGTCCTTGTTAGGCCACTGATCAAGATCGATCTTGAAAAGGTTGTGCATTGGAGCCATCTGTCAGGTAAGTATTTTTCTTATGGACTAATCAGGGGCGGATCCAGGATTTGGGTCAGGGGAAGGGGTTGAAACCCAAACCCCACCATCTGAGCCTGAGGATAGCACAAACGGTCTATTCCACGTGGAACCAAAGCTCTGACTGGAAAGGTGGCTTCCACGCACAACCGCTATTGATCGTAATCAAATTAACAATCAACACTTCCCTAGAGCTCGCATATTATGCTTCATGGGTTTCTTCGTCCAACGGTTTTCTTTGAAATGGGTTAGGAAATAAGACGTACTTTGAACGGTAACTTTCAAAGTCAAAGCGGCTTCTTGACTAAGTATGAGCAGGGTTTATTTTTTTCAGTGTTTCCGAGAAACCAGGAAGCTTATAATTGGAAGCCCCGAAGCCAGTTTCATTGACTTGTGTAGACCGAAGGACAAGTCGTTAATTTTTCGTTTTTCTCCCTGAACATCAGGCGAAATCCATCGGCACGGCTCTAGTGTAACAAGCTAAGTTCGACTTATCCAGCAAGTTGATAAATACGACTCACAAACACATGCGTTCATCCATAAGCTAAATAGGGATTTTTTTTTCATTTTAGCAGATCTTGCGATGTTTAATAGCACTCGTCTAGACCAATTATGTTTTGAAATAAAATGTATCATTATGAATTACTCTGCTTACTTGAGTCGGCGCAACAGAGTTCAAATCCTCGAAGAAAGGACTGTATGTAGTCATGCTGTCCTCAGTGGCTGGTTACGAGGGTGCCACTTGGAAAACACCGACTTGCCAAGTCTTTTCTGTAAGTTGATAATATTGGTTACAGCTTGCAGGTGGTCAGGATAAACGGCGCGTATTCCCAGTATCTCAATGGCAGGTTTTACTGGCAATTCTATCTTCTCTGACTCCATATCGAATGGTTACGTTTAATAGTAAACGATCGATTGATAATACACAATAATGAATACAATATTTAATAAATAATAATGTAAATATATATTTACTCTGGAATGACAATCAGTTGAGTGCTTGAATAGCCCTTGTATTGTGTACAACTCACGTCGGTTCTCCCCAAGTCGGTTATAAGCCTTATTAAAAGGTAGGTCAATCAATGAACAAACGTAGAAATACTGTAATCGTGAAGATATAGTGAGCGTAGACAACAATACCAAACCAATTACCGACCGTGGCTTTCAGTTAATGACCTGTATGGAGTTTGTATCGTCGGAAATTCAAACCTGTATCTTAAGATGACATCGTAATATAGACTTTTACCGGCAAACACACATACACGAAGCACAGTAATGATTATTTTTGTACGTTTCCAAGCTTCCACATGCCACCAAAATTACGCATTCAGAGACCACTCCAGCGCGAGGGAATGCCCACAGCTATCAAGAACTTGAGGGAAAAATGACAGTGTTGCTGTTACCACTTTGTAATTTTTTTTACTCAAGGTGGAGAAAAAACCTCTGCTTTGGGTGTGCGAAAGGTTAAGGGAAATCTTCCACCTTCAGACGTGCTTGTGGTGGGAAAACAAAAAAGCGCCGGCGCGTCCCTGGACTCAGAGAAGTATTTTGCACTTGCTAGCTGTTGGTTAGTTTGCCCATGAAGGAAGCCACGACTTCCCGCCCATTGAAAAGTTCTGCCTCGTTAGAACTCTCGAGTGCCAAGTACATACGATATCGTTACACAGGAAACCGAAAGGTGACCCGACTGTTTCAGTGAACTAGGCTATAAATTGCCAAATTGGAGTTCCACTTCTACATGCATCCAAAAGGATTCCTCGGAGAGTTAGAAAATATCCGACAGTTCGTCGTCTAACTCTGACCGCTTTACAAAGTCAACTAGGTTGTACATTTTACATCAGCACTTGATCATGTTTTATATTCATGCAGTTTCAGAGCGGAAACGCCAAGGTATCAAGTACCGTTAAGAATCGACTTGACCACGATCTTGAATTAAAAAAAAACACATGTACAGAGCTGACGCTCTGGGCTTTCTAAAAATGGATGAATGAATATGACCCAAACCGAAATGGATATCGATTGTCATTGGAATTGATGTATATTGAAATCCCTAAGTATTTAATTCATCTTTTCTTATGGAAAGAAAATGAAAGCATGCAACAAGTTACGATGTAATCATGGTGGATTTTGAGGATGTTCTAACATCCAATGAAATTTTATGAAATAATATAAGAGGAAATGTTTTCATAATGAAATCTCCATTATCGCGGTGGTGTAAAATTAGTCGGAGATCGCAAGAGGAAACACCGTAACGAATGTCCTCCGGGTAACTCCAACGCGGTGCCTGAACATTTTTGGAGAGGCGTTGTGATGCTCTCACCATCGAGATCGAGATGAGATGATTTTTTGAAGCAACATCGGACCTTAATGGGTTTGATTAAGGTGGCCGCAAGTCTGCGGCTGAAATCTGCAGGAGGGTGCCAAGCGTCACCGTGTGAATTATAGTCTACGTCCAGCGTTACAAATGATCGCTACAGAGAGACCGCGGTTACAACTCATTGCTTGCTCTAACCATACACGTGTAACGTTTTTTCTTAGTTTTTGTTGAAGTTGAGAATTTTTTCTTTAGCATAAAATACCCAGTTCATATGATGAAGATGTGTTAAAGGTTGCTTGTGACTTGACTCAAACTGAGCTGAATGAGAAGTCGACCAATCATCTTCTATACCATCGGTTCACTGCTACAGCGGGCGTTAGCGAATTACTTGGCAAAATCCTTTAACTTAGCTAAATCGTCACCATCAGCATGATCAGTAACAAGGAAGGCGTACAAAACTGGGTGTTACCTTTCAGCTGCCGTACAAAAATCATCTAGGTCTGAAGACAAAAATTGAGTTCCCCTTCCAAGACTTCGCGAAGGCTTTAACCGAGGTAGACTGGCACCTGGCTAAATTATTATCACTTCTGTCCTTGCTTTAATAAGGGTGTTTACCACACCAAAGCAGAAGTTGTCTGTTTTGTCTTGTCCAAATTTATTCAGACCCGTGTATTCCTAGGAACGTGATACTTTATACAAGAGAACGATTCTCTGAATTGGAATGTACGAGTGCCATTCCTCACGTCGTTGGCATAATTGGTCCATTATTGTCGAGCAGTGAACCCGCCTTGTTAAACTAAATACATTGTGCAACGTTCACTCAGTAAAAAAGAGGCACTTGACCTTCGATACAGGGGCACCCACTGACAGCAACCGTGAGGGAGGTGTAGTAATGGTAACAAGTTGCTGCTACTCAAAGGGCCCACGAGAGGAGACATTGCACGCAAAGCCGTTTTTTTCATTTTCCGTCCGTTGTTTTCAGTTTGTCATTGTGGAAACAAAATAGCGTCATACACAAGCTTTATGTCACAGTTTTATGTATACGACGCTTCCGGGTATGACACTTTCCTACCTTTCGCTGTGAGAACGCAGTCGCCTATATACCGGTCGATGCCTTTTAAAATGTGGCCCGGTCGTTGTCTAGCTGCACGTCGGCTGTCACATCCAGCGATGTATGAGGCTGTAGAAGTGGACCGCTGCAGGTGGGCAGCGCAACACCACCGTACTCGGTCTTACGCTGTGGTCTCCCAAGAATTAACGAGGATTTGGAAGGCTTGTAATTCACGTTTAAGGATCCCCTCAGGGGCGGATCCAGAATTTCCCAAAGGTGGGGGGAGGGCGTGAACTAAAGCAGCAATGGTAAAATGCCCGCGAGCGCGTAGCGCGAATTCCTTATTTCGGCTTCTAGGCACCTTGTGGTGCGATTTTGGGCAGTATGACCCCTATTTCTCCTTCCCCCTCTTTTTCGTTTTTATTTATGTATTAATTTATTTTTAAATTGGAGGGGGGAGGCTGAAAAAGGGGGGATGCGTGCCCACCACACCCTGAATCCACCCTGTCCCTGATATAGCAAAGTCTTGGATAACCACGGGGGGGGGGTAGTATTAGCCAGCTCCCGGTAGATGTCATTTGGCAGACCGCCATCCTCTTGTCATGTGGCAAGACAGGTTATGACAGAGAGCTAACAGCAAGGCGAAGTGTATGATATACGACAATAGAAAAAAATCTTGCCCGACGCCTTCAGTTACAGTATAAGCCTGTTTTCAAAATGACTTAATTATGAATCACACAAATGAGTACAAAAGCGTCTGTGGGTAGCCCGCCAGAAACTTAGACTAGCAAACAACCAAAACAGTAATAGGGACCTTTCTTAACGTGCGCAAACACTAACTCAAAGACAAGATCTCACAGGCCCTAATCAACATAAACCAATTTCACCATGTGCAACTGCACTGACTACGTGTGACGCATAAAACACGCGTATCTTGTTTGCAAGTTGAGTTTCCTGAAAACCCCAAATGATGTTGCACCTTTAATCTGTCTCCGGAATAAAGCCAGTGTATGACGTCACTTGTCCCAAATCTATAAAAAGTCCTAGACTTGGACAGCAGGCCACTGCAGAGTAACAAGTGCCGCAGAGTAGTGTGTGTGTGTGTGCTTTCGCTCCAACTGGCAGACGACTGAACCGACTGACTTCGTGGAGGTTTTGGGCGCGAATTAGCAATTACTGTTCATTTCTCTAGAGCAGATTTCTCCTAGCAACCGGATAGGTTATCCCAACCGCAGGTAAGATTTTGCCATGTTGTATGCATCCTTTTCACAGCTTTATTAAAATCTTCCCACCTGTTGTGTGAGCACCTTTATCTTCTTCGATAAAATCATCTGCGTTTTGCTTGAATCGAGTGCTTTTACTTGTCAAGATGGGACCGTCTGTCTTTCACTCATACTAGCTTTCTCATTATCACCTCTGTGACAGAATCACTACACCACATAATTCCTATTTCGGTAAAGACGATGAAAATGGATGTGTGCATCTGGGCATTTTTTAGCTGCTTAAATTCGACCGAAACTGGTTTCACTGCGCTGAGTGCAGACCTCGGGGAAATTCGCGCTGCTTTTTGTACGGTTTTGTTTTCTTTGCCTTTATCGGTTTAGGTTTGTTTTAGAATTTGAAAAAACACGTGTTTTGAAACGACACACCTGTCCAAATGTATAGAGGTAGATAGACGCAAAACCAGAGTGTCGGCTGGCTTTATCGCTAAAAATGTTCCGGTGAATATTTTGATTCTCGACTGACCGTATTAAATCTGACAGTTAATATCCAACCTAAGTAAAGTGTGTGGTTTGTTGACCCATGTTTCGATGTCCACTGAAATAAAGGGTGTCGCGAGTTTCTCCGAAGAAATCATTATCCAAGCGATTCTCACTTTTAAACCAGTGATCGCCATAACAGCATTCCCATGTAAGTCTGGCTGAGGCTAATGAAAATAACATGAGACTCAGGCTTGTGTCGTGTAGGTGTGTTTGGTTTACTATGGATCACCACTTTCTTCAATTTCTAATAGATTCAGCAAAATGGAATAAGCCCAGAGTGGATGTATCAAACTGAAGAATAAAAAATTGAACTATGTACAAGTGACCTGACAATTCAGTAATGTTAAGGGGAAGATTGAACGTCTAAACCTCTGTAACTGACATGACCATGAATTCTGATGTTACACAATAAACCGAATTTAAACCAGTAAAATAAAGGACTTTCGCTGGGTTCCACGAAGTTATACCAAAGAAATAAAATAAAATTACAGAAACAGTACAGACGTAATCTTGGAGAGGCAAGGGGCAAATTTAGAGAAAATGTTAGAGTAGAAGGATAGTAACAAAGTCAGACTTTCTTCTAATGAAGATCTGTAAAACCACAAATATAAGAATTTAATCTCGGGTTTTGCTGTTTAGTAGAAAAAAAATTGCAAATAGTGGGGCTGCGGGGACAGCCTCGTTATTATCAAGCAGATGTTTTCTTGTGGGCTTCTTTGGTACGCCATCTTTAACGGTTAGCTTTCGAGCCAGATACATGTACCTGCACTTTTCGAAAAGAAAAATTAGTTGATTCATGAACTTATTGCCAAGCACTCCCATGTGACGCGACAATCTCACACCAACTCGTTCATTTGCACGTTGGCAAATATGTTTGTAGTAATGACAAGCAAATGTTTGGAATTGTTCCCTCAAACGGGACCAGTCAACTCGGTGTAGAGCTAATTACAAGAGACCGTGGTACATTATCGCTCGATTTGTTCAACTCTCTGAAAAAAATGCTCTCAATTTTGCAACCTTCTAATCACCAAACTTTGGGGAAAATAATTCTTATTTAAGATTTAGGCCTACATGAAGATAATTATGGATTTTGTGTTAGAAAATGAATTATTTCTCTTTGGAGTTCTATGTAAGCTGCCCTACGGCGACCCTGAGAGGCATAGAGAGAGGTAAAAGACATTGGATAAGCTTAACTTGTGTTCACAAATTGTAATTTGATAGAGAGGACGCGTGAAAGCCCCCGGACCAAGGTGTTTGTCATTTATCGCTCACATATATCAAACAGCGGAAGAAGCACTTTAAAATTGATGTAGATTGCATTTTGTAACTAAAGTAGATTAAGCAAGCCTTGGTCGAGATCTTAATGACGCCATGAATTAACCATTCAAGGTTCCGCTTGAACTTTTAAGTGCTCGACTGGATGGGATGTCCCAACCACAGTCGTTAATTTTTGTGCATGTGTTGAATAATTAATGCGGAGCCCATACATATGAGGGAATTTGTGGAATTTGCGGAAATAGGCGTCTTCCTCTCTCTGACGTTGACTTTGCTGAATGGCTGTTGAAAGCACGCACACAGAGCTTCGTCCTTGGCAAAAATGGCACACTTCTTGCCACTTTGTGAACAATAATTATCAAGTTACCAATAAAGGTCGAGTCTGATATTCAATGGCGTCACTCGTTGGGGCGGGAAAATATGCCCCTCACTGTTTTTTTTCGCCCCTTTCCCATAGACACCCACATGTCGTAAGTCGACCCAGGTCCACTTACTTGCGAGAAACGAGTGACGCCTGCACTCATTACTGAACTCGATGTCAACTTACCTGCTTGTCTTAACATGAAATAGATTGAACGTTAGGTGTGTCGGTTGTGTACAATATGAATAAGTGAGAAAACAGTATTATGGTATTACTCAATGAAACGCCGCCCATCGTGACCAAAGTATTTTAAGAGAAGTGGAATAATAATTTGGTCAGCCACTAAAGGTTGAATTCGTATTTTTAGTGGATTTCTACAAAAACTGGCCCTTCGATTCATTTTTGTGTCGTTTGTAAGTTTGTTGCCCGTCTGTTTCCCACGCAAAGGTTCATTCAAGCACCATGGCAAACACTGGTGTAACAAAGATGGCCGCCCTGATCCTCATCACGTGTCTAATCCATTGCGCACACTCAGTGCCTGCCCAGGGCCTACGGGAAAGGAGAGAGGCTGATCAGACGAGACAAACTCAGGAAGCGGAATCCGGTAAGTTAAACTTCGACAATGGTACAGTTTTATTTTGAAAGTAATTGAATTCAAAATATTTTCGCATTTCATCATCCAACGCTCGCCCGTGTTACTTCAGTTCCGAACATAATAATTCTTGGAGTCAGGGTCTCTTCCGCCATCACATTTTTGAACCATTTTAAAAATATACTCATTTTATAATTGGATAGTTCATCCTCCCAAGGGATGTGACACAGGAAGCCTAATCATGGTCTTCTTTGTACAGCTTTATAGCTTACACTCTTTCCTGAGGGTTGAATTTAAGCCACAATGGGCTTGGCCGCCAATTGTACCGTCCAGAAAAACAGCCGCTGCTATGTGCCTTTGAGTCTCTTGTCCAAAGGTTTAGGGATAGGTTCCAAGCATCCCTGTGCCTGGAGCTGCACACAGATATCTACACTAATTTCCTTGGAGATTGTTCTGAAAATCTTGAGAGAGGTTGTTGCTGAACAGAACGTCTGCTTTGAAAACACGCCTTCTTGAAGTTTTTGCGGAGGCGGCATGCTTTTCACGTGGAAGGAAAATTGGAAACACAGCACTGCTACAGGTTCACAGACGGACGACTCGAAAACGTAGCCTGACATTTCGTCATCATTGTTATGTTAGTAATGGGATTTTAAAAAACAAATTCTCCCTAGGGAAAGGGTTTGATATTTTTTTCTTCCAACGGTGGTTCTACACAGGTTCTTCTTCTTCTGCAGGTGATTTTGTTATTACAGTATCTCTGCCTTTCCTTTCTTTTTGTATCGCGCGGAATGGGATGTCTTCGCAGCGTGGGCGCCTGTAACAGAAATCAACTCTCAATGATTGCCTGCGGGAAAGGTTAGAGTCTTCCGATGACATCAATGCAGTCAGCTTTTTCACATTTCGAATATGATGTCCCCTCCTGATCCCGGATTGCGCAGAATCTGCTTGCAAACGCTACCGTACTCCAGTCGTCCACTTATGCTTAGTGAGGACTGCATGAGCCTAGTTCATATATGTAGACTAGTTACAAATAATGAGAAGTATTTAAATGTTCGGAAAAATGTTGCTTGACTTTTGAGTTGCACTCATTTTGAGGGACACAATATCTTTGCCAGTGTGTGTGGGTGAGGATTAGCATAATACAACTTTCCAAGAATTTATACCCTGGAGGATAACGTTTGTATTTTAATGAGGAGTATTCTTTTAATATGCACGACATATTCCTCATTAAAGGCACTGTTTGTTCAAGGATGCACAGCCCACGCGTTCGTACACGTATACGCGGACTCGTCAAAATCTCCAGAGGCTCTGGCGAGGGGTGTGAAATTTTTTTTTTTGTCCTCGTTACGGATGACCGAAAGATGATGAAAGTTTGTTTACTCCCTGCAAGACCGCGTGTTGCTTTGAGTGCGTTTGTGCAGTCGAAAACTGAACCCTGACGTATACCATTGAAAGAAAATTCAATAAAAGTGTTGCAGTACATTGTTGTTTGTAAGGAAGTCTGTATCTGTCAGCCTTGGGCACAGATGTCAGAGTCGACGTTTATAATACGTACAGATCCGGTAAAAGACGTGAGCCATCCACATTTCAATCATCGGGGCGTAACCTACCAGAGAACGTCTACCAAATGCTCAAGTGCCAGCTGACGGCCATCGACCAATCAACAGCCTTGGCGCCGTCTCTTCAAAACGGCTTTCACGCAAGCAGTTACAGTGTATACATTTGACATTCATATTTATCAGACGGTCTTAGGGACCGAGGTTCGGTTATGGGCAAACAAAAGATGACTCGAAGTCCATGTTTGCATGCAGGAGGAACGGGAGAAGTCATTCAAATCGTAACCGACTGACCGAAATCGGCGCACCAGACCTAAAACAGGGGGGGGGGTTAATCTGTACAATATATCGCATCCATCATCGCGATACGGCGCGTCGGCCGTGGTACTGCTCGCCATTGTGAAAAGTCAACAATTACTAGCACGAGGATAGAGCTGGCCGTGGATTAAAATGAGATTGCAGGCAAACAAGGAATTTGTCCCGGGTGAACAAAAATTTCAAGAGGACGCTAAAGTTGAACTGTTTCTCCAAAAGCATCGGCCATCTGAAATGATACCGATGCTGGATAAACAGATGTCCCCCGAACCCAGGAAACCACATAAACCTTTCAATTTCGTCACGAGGGACTTTGAATGATTATTCAGAGTACCTAGAAAAGTTAGCCTTTTCTGATTGGTCCGAAGTTCGCCATGCCAGCAGTTTTACCTGAGCGTTTATACGATCAACTTTGAACATGCTGGGAAACCGCATTGATTTATGGCCTATATTTCACGGAGAATTTTTTTATTAACTGTTGCAGACATTTCATGTAGTAGTAGTGCTTGGGACAGAGCAATTTACATACATATAATCAAAATCGTTTCGGCAGTGTAGTCTCGATGATTTCAACAATGAAGTGATTTGTGATTCAATAACCTTGGCCTCTTAATGAAGCGTCAATGTGTCGATTCGCATGCCACGCCTTTAATTCCGACTCAAAATGAGCCATGTTGTTGATTGCTAATGCCGGCAGACCACCCTCACTCAATTTCGCAGGATGCTTTCGATGTCATCGCGGACATCGTCTTAAAACCGTCCTTTCAATCAAATCCCAGAGATGTATATACTGAGTCTAACATCGAAAGCGACAGGAAGCGAAACACCCTGGACCCGGCGACTTGTACGAAATCGAGGCATGTCACTCAGCAAACACGATAAACACGCTGCAATATCCTTGTGGTTTATGTCTTTCCTATGAAGCGCTCGCCCAATTTCACTAAATTGAAAGGTGCCTGTCTTGCGCGAAATCCCCCGCGACGTTCGGGAGTTGCACAAAAGGTAGTCTCGGTTTTGGCCAAACTGATGGCTCTGTCTGTTTCCAAATTCATCTCGCTCTATCATTTTCCAGTTACATGATTTTGCAAGAGCAATCGACGCGGCCAACTTCCTGTTTTTCTTTTTGTCCGACAGCAGATGAGGCTGCATGGGACGGGGGAAATGCATAAAACATCGAGGGAAGATAAAGATCGCATATGCGCTGGCCTGGACGGCATGGTTCCGAATGTCAAGTTATGAAAGGTGGCAACGTCGCGACATTTCGGAAGAGCTGAAATGAGATTAACAGGTTGGGGTTTGGGAGAAAGAGGACATGGCTGAGCGCGTGAGAGTAAACTTTGCCGATGGCCTCTCGAGAACATGCAAATACATAGGCCTACAGATGCAGGGAGGCAATGATTTGCACTTGTGAAAAGCAAAGTACACCGAAAGCTGCAAGCTATAAGTCAGATGTGAACTTTGACAAGAACGTGTCGCTCCGAAGGTGTCTTTGCTAGTTAGGACACGAATTTACATCGGATGCATGTCCAGTGCTCACATAATGGCACTGCAGAAGAGTTGTTTTCTAGTTTGAATCGATTTACTGGGTTAGTTAAACACTAGCGTCAATATAATACTGTGGCTTTACACCATTTACGAAACAGTTGTGCAAATGACGTTCCGTTTTGGCACATATGGGGCCCACGACAGCGCTAAATATGTCTGCATTTAATTATAGTTCTTGACAGTCTGTTTCGTACAGGTGAATTTCAGTCCTTTGACTGGGCATGTGTTATACCGTATCACTCAAAGGATCATGGGAAATTTCAGATTCCACTTTTTATGACGGCTTTTCCATCCACTGCTTGAGACTTCGTCAGGTTGTCGTATACACGACCGCACCAGACTGTACAATTTGACTTGAATTTTTCAAGATGTATTTTTGCGTTGGGGAGATGTTAATTTGTATAACGGGTTTTGCCCTTACCCAACCTATATATTAATAATAAACACTGTACGCTCAGTGCTCGTCCGAGAGCTTGCGAAAAAAGTCACAAGCCTACTCGGTTGGGACTCGACCCCAAGACTTCTTGCTTACTAGTGCAGACGAATGTTCCCCAACCTTTTACTGTGCACGTGCTACACTGCCCACACATAGACTATCATGGAGATGTTTGATTCTACGTTACAACCGTGACAAAACCCACGCCAGCCTCTTTATGGCATGCTTTATTCTTTTCTTTTTCCCAAAAAGTTCACCTTTTGTCATCTTGGCGTATTAGAAGCATTCAGATGAGGACCTAAAATTGGTCTGAAAACAGACAAATTACTGCAGGAAAGTGAATGAACGGTAAACTTCCCTCCTTTGACTGTGATGGAGTGAGTCTGTCTAGCGCGCATGCGCATTGCATTCAGTCGACCTTTTTTACCCACTCTGCCCACAGACTTGACAAATTTACTCAAACCATTTCGATTTGGGGGCAAACAACGATTTGACACGACGACAAATAGGACTTTGCAATCAGTCAAGTTCCATTCCAGCACAAACGGGGATAAAAATATGCTGTACCTGGCGATATTCAAAACAGAGATAAGAGTAATGTCTAACTCGGGTTTTCCTTTGTATTCTTTCTGGTAGAATTATAACAAGCTGTTTCTAGGCATTATCCTAAATGAAAACAAAGCTAATACTGCTCTTTCATAAAGTCTGTTCAAAATTAAACACTTCCTAGTTTATTTTTCTTAGTACACAAAGCCAAGTGAGTTTGCGAGCCATGTAGATTGGCAATTTATTCCACACTTTGCCGTGGGTAACATTTTCTTTCTCGCCGTTTCAGAAACACGATGCTTTAGTGGTGTACATGACAGAGCTGGTATACTGTGCATGCTTGCAGACATTTCATCTGAAAACTAGATTGTGTCGCCCTATAATTTGTTTCAGTCGCCCTTACTCAGAATGACTCGATAAAATAGTTCCTCAGGTCGATCTGTTGAGACTGCAATGGTACTTTTTGACTCAACCTAAACGAGAGTGAGTCGCGATTCGCTATTAGCCACTCGCCATGAGCTATCTTCTTTGGAAGAATTGGGCACAATGCAAATCAGTGTAGGAACCAGTACTCTCACTACACCCAGCCTTGTGAAGTCCACTGGTAACACCCAGAGAGTAACATTAGCACCAATATAACACTTAACTTTGGAAAATTAGGCTTCAGATTTGTTTTGCGCGATCCAGTCTGAGGCTGTGTCCGAATTACTCGGTACGGCTTGAAATTACGCTCGAGTCTGTGGCAAATTCATACGTGGATACAGTTTTTAATTGTCATTGTATCATGTCGTTCCCAGGACGCGCCAGACGGAACGTGGAACTCAAGATGCCGTGGGTGATGGACTCATTGACCCAGAAAGTTCAGGCCGAACGAAAAAATGACATCCTGCGAAACATCATCGAGAACGAGAACATGTTTGCCAGGGTCGGCCGAAAGTGAAAAAGGGCTAGTGAGAACTGACGTTTGGTCACTTGCATGGAATCATCTGCCGCCAAGTTCGGTTTTGTTCTTGATACCGATTCGTGAGAACTGGATGCACAGTGGATGAGCTTTATTTCAAAGTCTTCGGTTCATTTATTTATCTTCTGGAGGTTTTCTGAGTGTGTAGGACATTTCCGCTGAATTTGGTTTATTTACTTATTTTGCGCAATTTACCGCTTTCATTTTAAACAATATTCGGGGAAAAATACATCTTAAAAAACTCTGACTCACCTAACTCAAGCGGAACACTTCAGACGAGTATGGCCTTGCAAAGGCCATTTTGTCTAGTTTCCAGACTGCCACATAGTTTTCACTGTGGAAAGTGAGAGTGCACATCGTACATTTCCGATGCGATAGCTCAATAAAAATGCGGGACTGTCTTGAAGCTGAAACTACAGGTTTATGCGCAAAATTCAAATGAATGGAAATTACGTGGTCAGTTTGAGATAATAGCAACTCTTGACTTCTTATTCGATTGTACAATGTTCATTTTAGACGCAGCACCATTCACTTTTAGTTTAAGCTTCCATTGCAAAATGTACCGTGGCCTTTCATTAAGAGTAATATTTACTGCCTTGAACGTGTTTAAATTGGAGCAAAATGATGCTTTTAACGTGCAAAGGCCAGACTTTCTGCATGCTCTCCCGTGGTAATGGATATCAATCACCAGATTTGGTAGTAAAACTTTGCCGTCTTTTAAGCCAAAGAGTTCATGACACTTCATGCCGTAACTAAGGGTATGGTTCAAACACCTGCTTACCTCGCCTTTGTCTTTTTTGTGTGTTTGCTTGTTTGAGATGAAAGGCCATTAGGCGTATAGAAACATCGGTGAAATGTCACTAGCATTTTTCACCACCAAACACTGCGAGATGTGCGTTTCATTTTTTATATAGCAAGGTAGCCAATAAATGAATTTCTTGGCAATGTCAGGCTGTGCTCAGAACGATTGTTTCTGCCTACTCTCATGGATATAGACTATAAATCTGATTAGATGCCATTACCGCAGTGGCGCCGCCCTCACGCGCCACCTTGTTCCCATGGGTACGATCTGGCCGCGCCATGTTGGTTCCCACTTTGCCTTGCGCGCTCGTGAAGGAACGCACACGCAGCCCATGCAGTCGAGGTTGATCACACGCACATTCTTCAGCGCGCGTGTATTTGGCAAATCACCACACCCTATTGGTGGAAGAGGCATGTAACGCGCGCGCACCGTACCTGTCCACGGGCGTTGAGCCACGACCGTAATGACATCTAGTTCTGGTTGCCGAATTAAACACTATATTCACCGCTTTCCAAGAGTATCCAAAACCAGCAGGTTCCAGAGTATTTCATCCATCCTGGAGCTAGCTATCTGGTGTCACTAATAATCTCCAGCTCTGTGTTCAAATTAACGGTTTTAATGGACGAACTTGATTTGAGTAGATCCAGGCGCCTATGCACTCGAGCAAACCTGGGCCTGTTCCCAATTTAAAAGAAACTGCGCACAGTTAATCGTTTAAGAGTATACGAATCCGAATGAAGTTAAGAGTTTATGATGTAGAACACTGACTACAATATACGTGTTGACACTCCACTAGATTTCTCGCTATGCTGCGTTGGATGAGTGTTAATTCTGTTTTTGTCTCCTTACACGTACATGTATATCCATCTAGAAATACAAGGGGCATGTTAAGAAATCGATCACAACGAATTTACGAATAAAATGCAGAAACTGCAAATCGTCCAAAGACTGGAAAACCTCAAATCTGCCGAAACCGCAAATCTGGTGCCTGATAGTAGCAATGCCTCTGTGAATACAGATTTTTCAGACAAGGAGTCGGAACACTGGCAGCCGGGCGCTTATTCGAAACGGCCTGTCCTCGTTATGCACAGACTGGTTTGCCTCTTGAGCGCTCGCAAACGTAACTCGAGCTGTCCCGCGTCTTTTCACACACCACTTCAGCCCGCCGGAAGTGGGCAGATTTTGTGTGTGTGTGTACATGTACCAATGCGATTCGTACCACGTGTTCCCTCAGAGACGAGGACCCTTCCCCTGTCGGCTCAGCAGTGCTTGATTGCCTTCTCCCGGACAGTCATGAAGGCGTCTCCCCTCTCCCTCCCTCACTCGTCTCTCATCTCGTTTTTCGAATTATTTGAAACCGTTCGGGCATGAGAAAACATTCTTTTTTCTGGCACAGCGCGTGGATTGTTTTCTTTCAATCAGTTTGCAAAAATGTTGTCCAACAACCAGGTCCCCTGGTGCGGCTTTGGCGATGATACATCTTTGGGGTTTTGTTTGTCAGTTTTTTGGACTTTGGTTTACCTGCTTAGAGAAATATGTAGATCAAAACGTGTGGTCGTCTATTGTATAATTTCCATTATTTGAAGTTGTCATCGGCTTTAACTCACTGAACGAACCACAAAGCATCCCATATTATGGCGCGACGAAGGAAAAGGAATGTTACATTGAAATCAGGAAAACAACGAACAGGAGTAATTTAAGACAACTGGTAGTAGCAATCTCGTTTTGATAACATTACACGTGCTCAGAACAAAAAAATGTGTTTTTATGAGAAAAGAATGCTTGATTTTTTTATGAAACGGATTTAAACGCTTAAAATGCTTTTTCTTCATCAGACTTATTCGAGTAGGCCTATTCACTCCACCAGACAGCAAATATTGTAGCAGTTGGTTTGCCTCGATGCGGTAAATGTATGAGAAAACAAGTAGAAGAGCCGCCATTATCACGACACATTTTTGGGGCTTTGAGAGAGATTAGCTCTTCTATGATTTCTGACCAACGTAGCTTCGTGGGTGGATATGCATAGTCTCCATCTCAAGTTGTGCAAGAACAGGCCCAACCACGAAAACACTTTGGCTGGCAAATATTCATAGTCTCCCGCTACCCACCAACTCCTGGATATATCCTTGGCCAAAGCTGGTCAGCACGCTCTCTCTGGCTGGCATTTCGACCTAAGCGCACTTGTGACTGTTTGCAAGACCTCATATACAAGTAAAATCTCAGCAATCTTTAATCATTTTGGGATCGCGTGGGAGAACAATTTCCTGTATGCTCCTCAGGGAAACGATGATTTAATTCATGTTCAAATCGGAGCAGGAAGTGGCGAGCATAAAAACGTTAATGGACCATTACTATATTTACACATATGGTGTTCCGTACGGAAGCGTACGGTATTCCTTAGACATCGAAATTGACATCGGCCTTATTTTGCATTTTTGGGGGAAAATGCAGAACGTGTATAATAATCAAACTGTCATTGGTCCCATGATACACGAAAGCAAGACGCTGTACACAAACTGCCCGTTGGCAGTATTGTGAATATTGCACTTTGACTCTCACATATCATTTAAGAGGTTCTGTTTCTGATGTTTCTGCTGATCGCCAGTATGTTGTCAAAACTTTGCCTTGCAACACAAAATGTGCATCTAGAAGAAATGTATCAGTTTTGAAAAAGGACGGGAACACCACTTCTATGGTGAATTAATTGTGGTTTTCTACTGAAATTATGAATTCAAAAATTGCTCATCAGAAACATTTCGGAGAGAGTTGGTCATTAGTTTAATGCCATGTAGTTACAGTCTTGCACAAGCATTGGTCACCAAAAAAGTGGAAACTTAGGACAGTATAATATGAAAATTACGAGCAGTATAATATCAAAATTACGAGCAGTTTTGTTTTTGTATGATTTCCGCAAATAATGTAACGTTGGTGTCTACTAATAATGTAACGTTGGTGTCTACTCCTTGAAATGAAATCACTGTCTTAATCGAACTTTTCTTTACCGTCCAAACAAAAAGGTACTAAAATACCCCTTTAAATAGCAAAATAAAATTTTAAAATAAAATTAGCTGAATTTGCAAAGATTTTAAAGGGCTAATTTTTTTTTAAATAACGCTGCATGGCCCCTTTAAATATTTCAGAATTCAGGTGACAACATCCAGATTTCAAAGCTTTGGAGGGGGGTATTCTTGCGCCAAAAAACCCCCAGAAATCTCAGGCATACCAAACGGAAATTAGAAGGTCGACGCCAGTCACGTGACCACCAATTAGAATGTCACGTTTCGTGGTATTTTTCACATTACTCATCAGGCAGGCACGGAGTGGGTGAGAGCCCATCGACATTTAGCGGTTCAGGGAAAAGATTCGCAGGCCGATCTGAGAACTACACCCCGGAGGAGATGGTTTGTCTTCACGGCATCTTAGCGACACTCGTAGGCGCTCCCATTGCGTGCGGCGTAAATGGACTGTACCCCCACTACTTGAGTGGCTGGCTTGTACGTGGGATTGGTTAGGAATAGCAGTAAGAGCCTTTCTCCTCCTGGCAATTTGAGCCTTTCAGGCGCTTTACTGTTTTAGTGTCTGAGAACATTCGTGTTTGAAAATTCATGATTTGACGCTCACAGTGTTTCATGTTGTAAAAGAATTGCCCTAAACACCAGTACACCAACAAACTTACCTGTGGCAAATTCTTGGGCTTGAGATTTCAAGGGCATCCTATAAAGTAACCTACAAAAAATGTGAATCAGTGAAGAGTTTGGAATAGGTCTAGTCTCCATTCAGTCGATCGTGTACTTCCAAAAAATAAATCCAGATTGAACGCAAAATGTTGCTTTCCACTATTATTATTCACGCAGTTTTTAGAAAAATTGGCAAGAGATCCAAATTTGATCCTCATTTATTTATCCAAAATAAACCAAAAAATTGTTCATCGACAACCATCACTTTGTACAGGAGAAAAAAACACAAAAACCTCCAAGAAAGTGACACTGTATTCCACAATTTTAATAAGAATTCTACGTACACAATAATAATGCACTATAAGCCTGCGTAAACTTGTTTGACTATTCCGAGAAATTTCTCCACAAGCGTCAAACCAGCGCCTTGTTTTCCGATCGTCTGCGTAGCTTTGCTTCGTGCCAGATTTCGAACAAACTAAAAATGCTTGCTTCGTAGACAAGTTCGCATCTCGTACTGCGATTTGGTTGGCAAATACTTTTGGCAAATTCCTTGTCAACTTTCGCGGTAATTGAGCTTCCACCTCATGTTGCTGCGTAGGCCTATGCGTCCACGCCAATCTTGACATCTGAACGTGTCGACACAGCCTCCGGAAATCAGCGCACAGATAGCAACGGCAAAATAATGGGTTGTCCTCCACAACAAATTGAGCAAAATAACAGAGTCGTTGTTTTTCCAGATTTGCAGACAACGCGAGGAGTTTTCCAAATTTTTGTTTATTTGTGCAATAGGAATGGTGCATCACGTGCATCCAGTGGTCTTTTTAACTTCAAGGAAACGAAAGCGCTAAGACTGTGGGCAAGACACGTGATTCCCAGCAGTGCGGTGGCCTAGAAAGGACAACGTCCTCTTTAGGAAAAATCCGTTGGTGTTTTCACGAAGTGACAAAAACTTCAAAATCTTGCATAACGGATAATCCGAGATAAACGCATTTGAAAATACCAGCCTTTCCAATACACATTTTCGCTCATTTTTATGTTACGGATTGAGGAATTTTTTACAAAGTCCTGAAATGTATACAGACTTGGAAAGTGCTTAGTTGCAGATATATTGTCTTAATTAAAGAATAATTCATTAATCAAACTTAACCAAGTTTTTTTGACTTCCTTAAAACACAAAAGCCGGGAGGTCTTTTTTCCTATTGCATTGTACAAACTTTTGTCACATCCTGAAAAAAATACGCTCTTCAAGAAAATTGCGCTGCTGATCTACAACATTGTTCGCATGCACACAGACTTGTGCATATATCGTCTCTATTTTTGCCCTGCTAACGATGTGACCTTTTGTCGCTTCCTGAAAACAGAAAAAACAGAGACCACGCTTTTTGTTAGTTGTTTGTTTACAGTTACTAGGAAAGAAAACAACATTTTGTTTTGAAACTGTTAATTTGTTCGTTGGATCAAAGGAAGTAAAATGGTAGGAAAAACTCCACATCAAAAATTATCGAATTTCCGGGTTTTGCCACTTAGTGAAAATACCCACGAATCGTACCATGACTGCGAAAAAAACCCAAACTGCAGAAAATAATCCACGTTAACACAGAAAGTAAATCCCATAAAGCTTTCCTGTGTACAAAAAAGCAAACCAAAATTCAAATCAAAGGCGATGGTTGGCTCGCTTTCTGTAAACGCCACGAATGAATTTGGTTAACAATGGCGACCAAGCCTTCGTATAAAGTTTGTATTCAAACACGGTAAGATAGCTGCCAGTGGGCTCAGTGACCTCTGTGAGCTGAGTAAGGATTTTCCTTCTATGGGAAGTCCGTGCATCAAAGAAACAGACACAGGAAGCACAAGTACCTGGCCTCAATTTTGTGACTTAGCTTTCCATCATCACATAGCCCTCAACTCCTTTATTTCCGTTAATGTATTGACAACACCTGTTTGTTTTCTTGATGCATTAAGATTTTCAATAACTGGGGTTCAAATTTATTTTGGTAATTTATCAACTCCAACTCGAGTGACAATTGATGACGAAACGTGGATATCCTGCCTGAGGAAAACATCAAATAAAGTGTGTTAATTAAATTACTTTGTTATATTATAACTTGAGACAATTCAAGGGAACAAAATTAATTACCCATAATGATATTGTATGGCATTACCAAAAATCGATACATGCACATGTACATGTAACAGTTTGCTTACGGAAACACACTTTACAAAACAAAAACACAACCGACATTCCATTCTCTATTCTACTACTTAAAGCTGTTCTCGCTTGTCAGTGGCTCACATGAAATTGTGTGCGGACCAGGCACGACAATTTTCAAAAAGGCACCCTGTGTGTTCGTACCTGAAAACAACATAAAGCACAGCTCAAGTAGCGAGTATAACATGTCCACTAGATTGTACAAACTAGTGTAACTTACTCTTTGGTATCCCAGTTAGGTACAAATGCTTTACAACGATTTTGAAAGATTAGCTTTATTATTGCGCAAGTCCAATTGACAGATGATTGCAAATTTCAAGCCCGAACTCCAATCAAGAATCTTACGAACTTATTTTTCTTAATAAAACACACTTCATATCTATTTACACAATATTCAACAACGACTTGCAAGTACTAAAGTCTTTTAAATGTTCTATTTATGTAAACACATTTAGAAAACTGCAGCCCCGTTTTGCTTGTTTGTCGCATAATCAGAGTGTTAAGTCGTGCAGGGAAGGCTGTGTGCACCTCGATTCGGCATGTAGTCAGGATACCCGACCCGATGATTCTGACTACCCGACGAATCAAGGGTCTGGTATCACCCAATGTCACGTGACAAGGACCGGAGAATTCCTCCACTTTTCCGGAAATAGCCGAAATATTCCGAAGTCGTCCCGTCTACATTCTGCAGGTTCGGATGGTACCGTTGATGTTCGGTTATTCCCGGTCGGGTAGATGGGCTTGTTGAACGTAAACCGTCAACAATCATGCATTGGCATATTACAGCAATGTTACAAATAACTTACTTGTTGGTGTGTGGGTGGGTGTGGGTGTGTGGAAGGAATGTTGCCGTACAAGAATTGATCAACTCAAATAATTTCAAAAAGCTTATGTATGATTTTGAATTTTCTAAGATTTTTCAAGTGCGCCTCATTGGGGAACACTCAGCTGACTTGAAACCCACCGTGTAAGGGAATGAAATCGAAAAGATCCGGGCTTTCAACTTGTCACCTCTGACCCCTGCGTCATATCTATTTATATCCCTGGGTGATACCTGACCTAAGATTTTTATCAAGGGTCGTCAGGGAATCTTTGGGCAGGGAACCAGACTATACGGCAAGTATGCATTGCTTGTAGGCCTTCAGAGGGCGCTGCTGATGCCAGTTTGTTGCAAACCAACGCTGAAGCAATTAACCGAAGCTGTAATGCACATAGTAAGCTATAATTTGTGTAAAGCACAGCTAGTAAGTTGCAAACAAATATTTGTCAGTACCACGGGTGATGTAATGAAGCACAGTTTTCTCCTCTAAACAACCAGAAATGCCACTTGGTTGTGTCCTCTATTGGCACCAAAACTAGGTCAGGGCCAACAGAAGTACACCAGGAAGGCAGCAAATACGTTGTTTTTAAACCATTTCCCAATGAGTTTAGTAGAAATCTTGGAAAACTCCAATCTTTTCGGAGCACCAGAAGATAATGGACGTATTCAGAAGGACTCAAGTAAGAAGAGGCATTTCAATTATCAGCTAAAGACTGTATTCATCATGGCGGGCTCTCTTGTGTGAGACGAACCCTCCACCATCTTGAAATTGCTTATGACCGAGATGCCGTCGCGCGACCCCTGAAACTGATCTTCTGTGACGTTATCGAGTTGTGTGGACAGGGAGGTGGTGGAGCGGCCGATGTCGCCTTGCTGACCCAGCTCTGAGGCGTCTCCCTCACCGCCCGCTGAGAGGTGTTCACCGTATTTCCGTTTGACCAGAAACCAGCACACGATCGCCATGGTGACAGAGATGACCTTCAGGCCCGTGGATAGGCCAAGATAACGGTAGAAGTATTGCGCGTTGTCGTACTCCAAGCAGGAGCCGCGCTGGTCGCTGCACGTGCGCTGCCACAGGATGCATGAGCTGTCGATGGTGGCGCCATAATAGATAGGCGCTGGAATGTAGCCTGAAATCAAGACAAAAGGATAAACCGCATCAATAGATATACAAACAGCTTCAATTAGACAAACGAACAAAATAGAACAAAACAAACAAAAAGGAATGCTTCAAACCAGCGAGACATTCAGATTACCCACTGAGTGCATAGATTAATCTCCAACTTGTCATGAGGTATTTGTCACTAAGTTTCGAGGGTATCACACAAATGTATTTTGTCTTTGGCCAAAAAAAATTACGACATAATGAAGTTAGGACGTACACGTGACACTGAGGGCACTTCATCGTGTTGTGGGTACTCTGGAAAAATAATGTATATCGTAGGTGGCGCTAGTTGTGTTGCGCGACCCGATGCAGGCAAATTCGGACGCATCAGAGATCACAATTTGGGGGCGCTCCAGAGCTGTGTACCAGAGCTGTTTTAAAGCGATATACAGCTCTGGTTACTGCTCTATAGAAAGCTCTGTCGTGTACGTAACATTCCTTAAAAGGAATTATCGGTTCTGCGCGTCTGCCAGTGCTCCCACTCTTTCAGCCATTTAGCTGAGATAATGTTTCGGCTTTAACGAAGCAACGAATTACTAAAAAAAAACCCATGCTGGCCGACAGCTTTTACTTTAAGTCAGTACACGTCACGTCAAGTAGTCTAATTCGGCACGGTAAACTAACGTCTTGTTAGGGCCTCCCCCCCAATGATTTGAAAGAAATGGAAATGCCTACCGAAGAGTCTAATGATGACAAACTGAAGTCCAAGAGCAAATGGTCTTTCTTCCTTCTTCACGCTCCTAAAAATGACAAATAAAAATAACGTGAGAAAGTACCTGCAGACCGCGACCTTCAAAAGCCTGCAGATGCTTAAACACTGGCACTAATAAGGCTGCATCCGAATCTGTTGTCTGGAGCTACGTCTAGGTCTTCCCTCCATTGGAAATGTGTGGAGACGGGTAGACAATAGGCCTAGCCGTAGCTCTGGAAGCCAGCTTCAAACATTGTTAAAGCAATGTCCGGAGAGGCATATAGAATAATCTGACTTGAGGAAAAGTGAACATGAGTTTTGTTCAAGTAATGCCTGAGACAAATGATTTCAAGTTAACCGCCAAATGTAACAAGCATCGGCAACCAATACCTCAGTGTGGTCATCAGTGCTGGCATCTGCACCACTGAAGTCACGCAGACCACCACGAGCAGCAGGCAGATGAACGGAATGAGCTTGGAGCACTCCTGGGCACACTGGCCCGTGATGCCGCCCTCCAGCGACTCGCCGGCGTAAGTGAACGTCTGGCCGTCGTAGAACACCTCCACGCCTTCGTTACGGAAGTGCTCCTGCAGATGAGCGCGGACGGCGTGGTTTGCGTCGCCAGTGGGGACGTTACCCGAGGCTCCGGGGATGAAGTTCTCGATGCAGGAGCAGTTGGTGTAATTCTGGAGAATGACAGCGACCGACTGAGAAAATTAACATTTACAAAAACCATGATAAAAATACTAAGTGATTTGGGGGGTATCTTCGGGGAAAGGCGAATTCAATTTTTTTTCGTGGCTAACCCTCATAAAATTGAAACGAAAAGTGGTCTCCTGGCCATAATCTTGAATTTCCAATGAAAAAAACAGAGGCCAACCTCTTCCCGAGAGTCACCAGGCGGCGCTATTTTGGTCTGATTTTGCACTGTTTTCTATGGGCGCGTATTTGGTGTAGTGCCACCGTAACACGTAGCTATCGCATGAACGCCATTTGGGTGTGAATACGCTATGTTAATGCAACAGGAGCATGCGCTGCGACAGGCACGCGCACCCGGTATGCCTACGCCTATGCTTTAACGTTCACACTCGAATGGCACCCATGATGATAACACCTTCGTGGCCGAGTTCTCCGTCTTGCGCCGCTATGCGGCGCTACACAATCTTTGCTATAAAACACTGAATGACTGAGGCGGTTCCCTGGGTGAGGTCCCCACGCGCACATTGAAGCATCTTTGACCAGGGCGTTTTAAAACTGATGCACGCGCTCCCATAATTTAGGCACGCCAGTGACAAGCGCCGTGGGTGTTATGTTGTCGCAGCAACTAGCGTCTCCTCGGATTAGATTATAAGAGAAAATTGGCAAGTGTGGACAACTACTACTAAAGGACAGTTGACAATAATACTGACCACCAGTTCCCTCTGGCCTTCGAAGCCGACGTCCGGCGGTAGGTTGTGCCGCTGCACACAGCCGGCGTGGCACGCGCTGAAGTACGTCAGGCCGTTGGAGCCGCAAATCGGGTTGTAGTCCCACTCCTGGCACTTACAGAGGGCGTTGCAGGAGCTGGTCAGGTTGACATTGTGTGGGTCCGCCGGTGGTTGCCAGTTGCTATCACTGAATGGGTTAAAAAGGCGGGAAAATGCATAGTTGCTTGTGTACTCATCGTATGTGCTTTATGTTGCATAATACACGCCATCTGGATTAAAGGAAGATAGTATTGTAAGATTGCCAATCGAATGCCATCCTTGTCGAAGAGGGGATGTGTTGCAGGTTCTAAGGTCTGCTGCACATTTCGTTTGACCAAGGATTCTAGGATCCACGCGGTGCTTGTGGTGCTATGTGGCGCCTCGATTTTGTGAAGCGTGTCATGCGTGGATTGTAATCGTTTGGTACATTCCTTTAATCACACGGACTCGTTCCGAACTTTTTTTAACAAGAAGCAAAATTTGCTCAAAAACAACCTTTCTCGAATTATCTCAAAAACACAACAAAAATAAAACAGAAACTCATCGAAGGGCAACAAACCTGTGGAGAGTTAAGTATTCGAATCAAATTAAAAGCAAATTAATTATTTGAGTTCCTTGCTTTTGTAATTAGAATTCCAATTACCAACCATGTGTGTTAGAAAAGCATGTACTTTGTTGGGAGTTAGAGGCTCTCTTGTGTCCACAATGCAGTTATAAAAACAACAAAGAGTTATCGACGCTTATGCAACAACTTCCTTCACTATTTCACAGTGCACGTGCTATCAACGTGTCTGATGAATATTCATTCACAGACGACGTCATCACCTTTCGATGCTAAGTCCGCCTCTCTGGGAAATCCATCGACCCACAGACGTACGTAGACAACATCCCTGGCAATGTTAACCTAAGTAGCTGTTGGCAACGACACGCCCTCTACAGGAGGTCCCATCACGGGCTGGTGCATGATCATTTAAAGCCCGTGTTTGAGGATCGCCAGTTACGTAATATCCAACAAAGGCACAGTGACAGAGCTGTTTCAGCTTGTGTTGGGAGAGTTTACACTCTCAATCAACAAATCGAATGTTCGACTGAATTCCTTCCTCTATGGGATTGACTTAAAGTTCAAACTCGTATCGAAAGTACTCGATAAATCTTTCCCACAGAGCAAGAAATGCGTTACCTATGAGTGAAATGCAACAGACACAACGTGTTTTGTAAGTTTTATGTAAAGCAGTAACTTTCCTCAAGCGCAAATGTAGCTATAGCAGGACATGTTTAATAGCTATTAATTAAGCTTGAAAGAACCTGGAGAAAAATTACACTGATGCTAACATTTAGTATGGCTAGGGTGTTACAATCTCTCCATGCCAGGTAACACAGGTAAGGCACACAAAACTGTAACGCTTGCCCTAAGGCTGACGTTCAGTCATTAAAAGTTCAAGCCAAACAAAATGCTTTTAAAAAAAGTGGCGAATAATTTATTCGTCTGAAGAGAGGGGAGTTTTTCTGAAGCAATTTCGCTACAATTTCCACAAAAATTGTCTCAAGTGGAGGAGAGTCCCGTGCAATAAACTCTAAAGTTAACCTTAAAACCCTAAAATGTTCATTATTTCTTTTCTGCCAGTTGTAAAATAACAGGGAACATGGGGCGGCAGATTGTGAGCAGAAGGTGACTTTCAAACCAAACTCAGGACGCGGATGAAAGCTAAACACAGACAAAGACAATGGTGTACAGGGGACAAAACCCTTCCAAAAATCAACTGCCACGGACATACAAACTCTGGCATTTCCCGCTTTATCAGATCCAAACCTCATCCAATATTGCTCATGAAAATGTAATTTTAAAAACTAAGCAATTCTGTCACTGACTGTACATGCATGTACGCCAATTGTTTACCCTGTGGCCCTCTATAACAATTTGTTATATTCTGCAGAGCTGAGAACTGGCATTTTGCCGTAGGCTACACTGCGTATACAAAACCTTTACACCCTTTTTTGAATCGTGAGAGTACATTGAATTTCTTTTGAAGACTTGCAGTTGGTTCCCAATAGAGCACAGATTTGTTATCTCTGTGTACGAGTTAGTCGCCTTCTGCAAACGAATGTTTGTTTAACCCTGTTAGCAGCTGTAATCGTGGCATCATGTTTGCCATTGATACCCAAGTCCAACCTCTAAATTTTGTTTGTCGCATGTGTGACGTACAAGACCTTTCAGCAAACATGACAGCTTCGTAACATTCCATTCATAACCTGCCTATATGTGGCACCGTCACGTAAGGCACGCCAGCGCTATGCCCCTTTGGAGCGCAACGGGTCAATGAACAAAATCTGCGATTCAAGCACCTTCCAAATAACATCTACTAGTGCAAAGATACACGGAGTTGAAGGTGTAGTGTTATCTAACCTACTGTTGTGATCGAAAGTCTACACACTTGAACTCTACGTGTTTATTTACAAATTTGGAGACTCTGTTCTTGGCAACTAATCATCTGTTGGCGGATGACCAGAGCATATTCTGTACTTCAATACTTTATGCTGAGGTTCATGGGGGAAAGTGGCTGTGCTAGAAGATCAGTTACAAAACAATAATGGTTGATTTTAATCGATATTATTTCAGCGTTAAGCTTTGTTGTTCAACAATGTCAGATTGCAAATTGTCGACCCCAACTGTATACCTTGTATGAGCACTGCCATATGTCTGTCCCTATCTACCTTTTGGTAAAAACTAAACATTGGTTTATTGTTGGTCTCAGTCTTGCATGTCGTAGTCTCGGTCTCGACCTGCAAAAGTCTCGGTCTTGAAGTCCTGGTCTTGGTCATGAAGGAGTAGGTCTCGGTCTCGTATGCCTTGGTCTCGGTCTCGGACATCAAGGTCTCGGATACAACACTGGTGTACATATAATATAAAATTTCCAGCAAACCCTTTTGCCCAAATTCCTATATCCATGTAATCCATCCATGTAAAGTCCTAGCCTATGCCAGCACTTTCAACCTTCAAGCTGATCCTATTCTGAACCTACGCCAAGCTTGTATTGATGCCCGACAGTGGCTCGTAAAACTACGGGCGACTAAAATCTCACACAATTATCAACAAACAATAATAGTACAGAATACTAAAATACAACCTTTTGTCGAAGTATTGGGGCACAGAGGTAAAAATGGAACCAAAAGAAGGGTGATCTATTTGGAGACAAAAAGTGTTTAGCTTAACCCAATTAATGCAGGGCAATATACTTAACTGGGAAATGTTAATCGACTGCAGTGATGCTAGATGTCATCAAAACTAATTCCAACCACCAGTGCCTTATCCCCGAGATGTATTATTGGAACAAAACACCGGATGTAAAAGACTGGGATTTTATCCGGTTTTTACATTTTTGTTCCTTTTGTTAACGTGGGACTCGACGATGGAATGAAAATCAACACCGCTCCGATGAGGTTTCTCGCCAAAATAGTAAAAATGGAGTGAATCAGACATCATTATCATGAGTCGACCTAGCTTTTTACCGACCTCTTTTAAACATTAACCAAAAAAGGTCAGAGTCCAAGAAAAGGGAGAAATTTCTCGTTTGACGCAATGTGATCAGTATAAGACAGCACGAGGGGGTACGGGCGCTGTTGGAGTGCCCAGTTCGCATTTAATTGATTCACAGTGGTTTCGTAAAACTGCATGGCTGTGCAAGCGCTGGCCTACCACGGGGACGTTCTGTGACGGGACGGCCAAATGGTTGCTCCCTTAACAACGAGAGACAAGTACGCAGGGACAAAACAGCGTAGCTGGAATGTGACTCTGTATCACGAGACTGTGACTCTGTATGACGACAGTGCAACGCTGAGTTGGATTTTAGTTACTAAGTAACAAATCATCTTGCAATACTTGCAATAGCAGGCAAGGTCAATGTTAGACGGAGAAAGTACATGTACATGATCAATGGTGGCTCAACCCACAATCGTTTTTAATTAACTGACGTTTGGCATTTCCCACAAAAAATATGATCATCAGCCATTCAGAGGTGTCAGCCGGTTCCCAGACTTGTAGTGGTATCCAAGGCAACGGCTTGCAGCCGTGGCGTGCTGATGGCAAAACGCGAAGCCTCAGCCACCAAAAAAAAAAAATCCTACCTCATCCTACCTAATTATTAGCGCTGTCCGAATAAGGAAACGACTGGAATGAACACGCGTGTCCAGGGGGACGCAAAACCACTATTATCGGCTTCGAGCAGAAGTACCCTCCCCATCGGTTGAAAAGAGCCATATGGGTGGGGGGGGCTCATTTTGTCGGTAGCGATGTGACCGGAAAGTGTGCATTTTATAGTCGTTTGTGAACCAGTAGCCTCTGATCAAGGCGCTCGCGGCGAAAAGAATAGTCAAGACTATGCGACGAACCGCATGCAAGCCCGAAAATAACCATGCAGTAGCCGAGTGTGCGTGTCGTGGACTGTGCGCGCCGTTGCAAGCGCCTTTGGAGCTTTGTTTCCAGCGGTTTATCTGAATTATTCAATTGCTTATGTTATGAATTATTCACATTTCTCTGAACCAATCGTGTTTTGTGGGCTAAGTAGTCCGAGCATGCTAGGCTACTAACGTTAGAGAAGTCGCTGCAGAACGATGCGGCCTAGTATTTGAAACTTTTGCGATATCCAGTTTGAAGATTGACAAATGTGCCCCGACCCTTCTGAATAGCCTTCACGGCCAACATTTGCTGTAGTTTCAATTTGTCGATCGGAATCCCAAGCTTCGGGGCTGCTTATATTGGAGGCAAACCTGGAAGAGATTGTCGTCTCTGTCAGAAAGGACGCAGTGTTGCGCCATTGTAATGATGAATAATTTATTACACGCGAGACAGAGGCGATCGTTTTGATTGGTGGAGGCTATGCATACGCATATAATTGTATCTGCTACCGATACTAAAGCACATGTAAAGAAAAACGTAGGCTACGTGGGGCAGAACTCCAAAGGCGTGCGGGCGTGCAGTTCGTCTTGTACACAGTCTTCCGTCGTGCGTTGGTTTGGTGCTTAAACTAGTCTCCTGCAGCTCCTCGCTCTTGAGTGACTATCCATTTCGCCGCGGGCGCCTTGATTAAAGGCTAGTGAACTAGCGACGTGCAGTTCCTAACCAAACAGCTTGTGTTGCTAGAAAAAAATTCGCCCCTCTTGGTTCAACTCGGGGCTCATTGGCCCCGAACGATACCATCAAAGAGAGCGGAATGCAGAAGATCGTGGAAGATGTGGTAAAAATATTTGAAAAGGATATTGCAATTATCTGCTACAGTCTGTGCGACAATTCTCTCGCCAAAAATCCTTACAGTGGTTATTACAAACACGAATTTGTTTCACTGCAAATGTCGCGCAGGTTCTCTATCCCTCCAAAGATATTACAGAGTCGTTTACTATAACAACAAATTGACATTTTAACCCTTTGGATCACGCATCTGTGTATCACGCAAAGAGGTTTACTTCGTTGCACGACAAGATAGTGAAAAGGAACTAGAGAAATCCTTTTGCACGCCTGATATAAGTTGAAAGAGTGATGAGCTTTACAAATTCAAAGCTTTAATTTTGCACTGATGAGTCACTGGAGGCTGGCTGTTCAAATCAATTATGCAGTTCAAAAACGTTAATATTTCACGACACCATCATTTAAACTTATCCCACATTTGATAAAATATCAATTGTTCGTTTGCATAACGTTGCACTAGTTTGGCCTTTAAAGTAAAGCTGCAATAAATTTCTCTTGAACACAATTCTCGCCAACTTTGCACTCTTCTTCAATGTATGAATTTCATTTACATTTCTATTTGGGAAAAGCGCACTTTTTGAGCACTTAATATTAACCGTGCTCTCCTGGTCACCAAAGGATGCAATAGCTGTGATGTCATTAAGGGAAGACACATATAAATACATAGGCTTTTCCGTTCAGATTGTGAACCCCAAATCCACTAAAAACATTTCTGACAAAAGGATTGAGGCTGGTCTAGGAAAATAAACATTGAATCAGCAAAGAAGATAAAATGTAGACCAGGAAAATCTACAGGTTTGCTCGTGAATATAGAATACTCATTAGCATAAAAACAAAAAAGGCGAAATATACCACCGAAAACAGTGAAACAAAAGTTGAAAGTAACGCCAACTTAGACAAAAGGCGCATATTGAAGGTTTGTTTAATTTCAAACCAAACTGATTGAAGCTACCCTTAAAATAATGTATCATTTTATGGGCAGTGATCAATGCCCCTTCTAATAAAAAGATCATAAAAACATGTCATGCAACTTTCTGTTTCATTTAAGATGACGGAGAATGCAGGTTGATGTCTGTGATGTCGCCGGAATCTTATGGGGTAGGAAGTTGGAGATCGGACTATTTTTATTGTTATTTTAAAGGCCTAATATTTTGTCCAAGAACTGACCATCAAATTTTATGAAAGGATTTTAAACACCTTTACAGGTTAAAGAAACACGTGGTGTTTCTCATCACAATGTCAGGACTCTCTGAAAATTTGGGTTGAACTTCACTTGTCGGAATACTTCAAAACAGCTGCGGTTGGAACAAACAATGGTCAACCACAAATGTCCGTATAACCACAGAAATTATGAAAGCATTTCACGTCTCCGCACAGTTGTGCATACATAATTTGCGGGCGTGGCGAGTGTTATTTTGAGCAACAACAAAATCATTGTAGGTCACGATCATACAACGTTGATTATACAGTTTATCCCACACCATTTCCCCCCATTACAAAAAGGACCTAAAAAATCACATATTCAACAGTTCACAATACTCTGCGTGTATGGAAGAAAAAAATAATTGTGTGGCTCCCAGTGCAAAGGAACAAAGTGCACTCAATCTGTCGTGACAGGACACTATGGCATTATGACGCTCGGTCCGATAACGTCTAAAACCAAACATGCACTCCAAAATTTCGAGGAAATCTTGCGTGTTCAAAAATAGTTTGAGAGTGTATTCATACATATCAATGGCTGGGAAATGTCACAGGTGTTTCAAACAGATTGCTTTGAAAATCTTTGCTTTTTAAAAAATAGATTTATATTGACGTGCATTTCACTTACTATTTCAACCGTGTCACAATCTTAAAAACCTAGAGAACCTACAAATAAAATTACCCCTCGTTTCATCTTATAAAAAGCATTCTGAAACATTTTTTTGTAATTTCAAAGGAAAATACAACTTTGTCTTTTGCCAAAATATGATTGCAATTGCAAGTATGTTGGAGAAGAGAAACATTGCATCATTTCGTTATTTCAAATTTATCTTGTAAGTTTTCCCTTTTCATTTGGTGGGAGCTGCATTACAATTTGTAGACGATAGCTATCTCTGTCTCGAAAATTAAAAACAAATTCATATAATCTAATCAGCGTTAATGCACTACTTCATATGACCGTAACTTTGCTATTTATACCTATATGACCGTGTCTAAGCAACCATTCGCGAAACACGTTCCGCATTAGTGGTAAGAGTGAGTCACATCGTTGAAAAAAAGAGGCCGGCCATGTTTGTTTCACGTTTGCCCCTAGTTGCGCGTTGGTTTCTGATTTTTGCTGATCAATAAAAACACGTTTAGGGGTTGCAACTAGATTGACCTAGTTAACTGCTACATACTTGATTCTGTATGTCACGTGTATGATAAATGGTGTTTATCGACAATTCAACTGACAGGTAGGTTATAGACTACATGTGTAATAATTTTTCAGTTGCCTGTTTGGAGACAATTTCACACTCTGCTGACTTACACGATTCGAGATGACTAAATTTCAAAGGTTTATTAGTTCAACATGGCAAAAACGAGACATGAATGACATTATGAGCCCTTATAAGAAATGGAAGTAATGACTTACGACAAGAAACAACTTGGCTGCTTCAGTGAAAGACACATTCCAATTATTTTTTTTGTCCCGTATGTTGTTTCCAGTATCAATGATCCTAATGCAACTCTGCCTACAAGGGGGCATACGATGTTTTCAATATGGAACACCCAATGTGATTTGAATATGATAATTCAAGTGTTTATGAAATCTAAGTGTCCAATATAATCAATGACGGTTCTGGTACCTTGCATACATGTAACTGGGTAGAGTTAATTGACTAGAACGTAGCATACACAAACAGACTGACACAAATGACGGCTGATGAGTATACTCCAATATCTACTGCATTCAACTGGCAAGCGTGCCTTCCAACCCCAACGACCTGAGGAATTTTGGTGACTTCGGAAAGTCGATTTTTGTCTGCTTGTTCAACTGTCCGCCCGTTGTTAAGTGATTGATGTGATCAGTGTTGTATTCGAGACAACTTCCCCAATTTCAAGGTCAGGAGAAGAAACTAAAAAGGTATTCATTTCAAACATGTAAAACATGATCGTTTGAAAGGTTTGAAGGTTAAAAGTACCATTCAGACTGAAATTATTGGGAAAAAATAGATCTCAAAATCAGAGTCTTACTGACTCGAAAATAATGCAGCAGTATTCTTTTCCCTCCAACTATTTGCTTCGTCCCTGGACTTATTTTGTTTATCTGAATATTTAAATAATTGATTTAAAGTGAAACATTAATGAATTCCGTGACGTTGAAAAGTTTTACTTCATCACCTCTTGTGAGGATGTCAACAGAAGAAAAATTCATGTATAATCCGCAAAGGAGCGTAATTTCTACAAATTTTGCATTGCAGATAGATTTCTGAGTGGCTTTTAAAGACAGGACGTACTACATTTTGCTCTGTTGCTAGACGCCATTTCAGCTGCACTGGTCGTGGGCACGGACCTGACTGTGTGATGAGATCGACTGAAATAACGTCTATTATGTCACAGTATTACTGCCTGGAGTTGTCTAGTCTTGAATAGGCTTTTCTCCCAGAAGTCACGAAAATTACGAAAATGACAAATTCATGGTCACAGTAAGTTTTCATTAGTTTGATTAGCCTACTGGCCGAGAACATTAGGCCCCTAATAAAACCGAACATTATTTACGGGAAGCAAACCCCGTGGCAGGACAAACACAAGGAAGTAAGGGAATGGTACACTTTGTGATTTCATCCTTTAGAGCGATAAAAGTGTGTCCGTATATACTTGTCTATTACCTGTCTAAATTTCACTGTTTCATCGTTTCGATCACTACACCCTATACACGATGTACATGTACGCTCAAGAGCCTCATGCACACTATGTACATGTACATGTTCAACTCAATGCAAACTTCAGACGCCTCGCGTTTTAACAGCAGTCACAGGTAAAATGAAGAATAAATTATTATGACAAAATGTATTGCCGAAGAGCAATGACACGAAACAAGCGCCCCTGTGGCAATGCAGTCTGACAGTTGACCTAGAAGAGTCAAAATTATGCGAGAAACCGAGTCCTCTGGGAACACAGAATACAATATAGCCTACATGTGCAACCAGAAGTGCGCCTATTTTGCAGGTATTTTTAGGTGCGAAATAGGCCCAGTTTGTTTGCAAACTGCTGTCTCCCTTCCTGAAACGACAAACGACACGACTTACATCAACGTTAGACCCCAATACACATTGACAGAAAATTTGATTGAAATTCCAGCCCATTTATCATGCATCATTACTTTTTGGTACTCACAAAAAAGGTGTCCGTGGCTACACTAGTCACAGTATAGGACAGAGACATGAAATATCGCCTTCTTACCCATATATGTACGATGTCGTCACTCCAGCGAGTGGCAACGTTGGACAAGAACCCGGTATGAACACGAATCCATACATGATCCCTGAGGTGAGGGTGAAAATGCATAAAACGTTTATGGTAGTCATGAGGTCACGCTTAACCCGGTTTAGGATGATGCCACCGATGACCACGCCCACTGCGCCTACAGGCACCAGCGTACCTGTGGAATTAAAAACAAAAATAATTTTAACCCAGTTTAATGCCAGTAACTAAGTTAACAAATTGGTTGAAGACTCATGGTTAGGAAAGGCAATAATTTCCTCCTCTTCTTCCAACAGGATTGGGGCGTCCTTATCCATCATGTTATTTCCATATTTTTCACAACGTATTCAAATTTTAATTTTGACAAATAGTATCCGGGAAACAACAGGGAAATGACAGCTTTTGTACCTAACATCTTTTATTGAAAACCCATATTAAAAAGGAACAGACATCACATGTAGCACAAACTTAAAATGACAACTTTAATTCAATTCTAATTGACGGGAGTCGGGCCCACCTGTGACCAGGTTTGCAGTGGACGCGCTGAGATTGAACTGGTACTCGATAAACTTGGGCGAGAATCGGACGAAGCCTGTCACGATGCTGAACTCTACTGCAGACGCTACGTTGACCATCATGTAGATGGGGTTCTTCAGCAGGCTCCATACTGCACGGGGAAGGTCTGGCAGGGGAACAATCAAGTATTTGTTTTTCCAAAGCAGCGACTTGAAACGAGCTGCAATTTCAATTGACCTTAGTTTCATTTCTTGAAATGTTTTCACAAAGTGCATATTTGGGATTCAAATTTTGAACATGAAAATATGAAAAACTGAACAGTGTCTTACTGTTCTATTCACCAAAAAAGCACCCTCACTTGTCTGGAGAAGCTCGGTCAATTTTTTTTAAATGCACTTACAGTTCATTTGAATCCAAATCGATTTAACAGTTTTCATCAATTTAAAACAATTTAAACATACTCAAAAAGTAAATCTAAGAGAAATTCATTGCATTGCTCCTTTAATTCCTTACACGGTGAATTCTTACATCTTCGTCTGCACACGCATCAATCAGTTTGGTACACTGCAAAGACTGGGGTGTTAAGTTTAACATCCCCGGTGTTATCAGAGGGCTACATCAATACTTTTCACTGGTCTAAACATTTAGGTGTTATTTGGTGTTACTTTTAAAACCCTCCAGAGCATTGTAACTGGTGTGCAAATTAACACCAGCGGTGTTAAAGTAACACCATACGGTGTGGTCATCTGATAACACCAAAAAGAGTGGATCTTAACTCCACAGTTTTTGTAGTGTACGTACCAAGTCTTTGCAAATACACGTAATAACATCGTTAAGTAACTCGCAAATGTGAAAAGTATTAAACCTGATGGCATTAATGTCAAAATCGTCTGGTCGAATCGGCAGGCCAGTTGAGAATACAACCCATGCCGTGTGATTCCATGCGTACTGTGCAGGTCAGAGGTCACGGATTGTTCAAGGCAGCCCTTAAGAAAGGGTTTGAAAGCAGGAAAGTATACCAGGTACGAAATGGGACAGAGGGGTTACCCCCCCCCACAAGTGCAATCCCTATACACACTCCAGCCTATTGTTACTTAACACACATCCCCCTAGATGTCTGAAAAGAATTCCTGAGATACCAGTATAACAATGACCAACACAAAGGCGGGGGGGAGGGGTTCTCTCTGTCCTATAGTTTGCATCAAAATAATGTAGGAAGGACTGGCTATTTATGGAACAGTCTCCCAGTCAAAGTGGTAGGGGCAAAATCAACCGACACGTTCAAAACTTATCTTCATTTCTTTTGGTGTAATATAGAATATGGGGGGGGGCCATAAAGGATTCTACTTATTCTACTCCCATCATATCCTAAGTGTAAGTACTATCAGGGCCAACATTAACCGCTTTGAATATCACCCGGTATTACCTGCCAACCGCATCTGGCAAAATGTCTTCAATGTTTCAGCAGCTGTTCACGTGATCGCAATCACAGATAATGAACCTGTTCACGTGACATCTTAAAGGTCGTGAATCCCACTTCGAACGCTAATCCAAAAGACCCTAGTACATGACCTTACAAGTAATAAGAGCTTAACTGTTGGCAATAGAACAGAGTGACTGTGACCATACATGTACGATTACAAAAGGCATTATATCCGGTTACACATTGTATTTGGTTGGGTTTTGAGCGTGCCCGCGAAAGTTCGGAACAAGCCGTCAATAGTCAACATCGTTTCGTGGTAAATCTGTTATTCACGTACCAGTTCATTGCAACAACGTCTGCAGGACAGTTGGGGGGGGGTGTACGTACCACGTACGTGAGATTATCACGTTATTGGGATCACTAGGATAATGTGTGGATAAGAAAGGGAACTTACTTTTTAAGGCAACCTGACTGAAGGTCATGAGGACCTGCCGGCTGTCGTCCGACTCCGATCGGATGGAACTTCCGTCGGCCTGGGCCTCCTTGACGGGCTCCTCGTCGTCCGAGTCGGGCTTGGGCAGGCGGCCTGGGAAAGCGTAGACCGGCACGGCCGTGACGGCGATGAATGCGGCGCAGACAAAGAAGCCTAGCCACCATGCTCCAAGCCACTCCGGGTCGCTGGCAGACAGCGACGACGAGGAAACCACGTTGAAATCGACGTACAGCCCGAGAACGAGGAAACCAACCAAGAAGCCCACCCCAGGACCAATGACGGTGGTACAAAAGAATATTGCTAAAAGAAGAAGAGAAAAAATCAACGTTCCACGAGTTGCGCATTGGACTTCTATTCTTTGATATCCATTTCTTTTACAGTTTTGTGTCTGAGACATGGAGGATGTCTCTTGGTGTATGCACTGAACTAATGCGCAGGATTAAGGACGACACTTGGCAACAGGTGGTGTCCAATTTCATTTGTAACTCACCAAGCTTTATGTCCTGAGAAATCACAGCGCAAAGCTACATACAAATAGCTACCACGGTACTTTATTGGTTGATCAAGAGAGCTTGATATAAGAACTTGGAATTGGAACTATGGGTTTTTAAAATGAAATATCAGACGAGTGATTCAAAACTTGGATTTCCTTCTCCAAGAATGTACTTTAAGACCGAAACAAGGGCAAACAACTCCAAACAAGGTACTGAAGTGGAATTCAAAATCTGGTTAGCAATTTCATGTCTAGAGATTGAAATAATCGATCTTTGAGAAAGGAAGGGGGATGTGTCTTGGCCTCTTTTCGTGTATCATAATAAACAACCCAAAGCGGATGAAAAGGAATAAATTAAATATTAATCCAAATGTAAAGATAGCATAAGAATGCAGTTTGAATATATAACTTCGATAGTAAACCATGGATAAAGGGCACAGACTAGTGGTATACATTGGGATATTAATCACTGGTGAAGTTACGGATAAGTAATTTGTTTTGTTAAAAGATTTCATTTCAAGGCTGGTCAAAGGTATGTTTATTCAACTTTGTTTAGATTGCCCCTCCCTGGTGGTTTTGGCATTGCTTCATTAATAATATCAAATTGAAAAAACACTCCTGAACATTGGAACACTTCAGGAAATCTGAAGGTCCATTTTAATACCATTAAACCCAGCATACCAAAAGTCCATTCCTGAAGAAATGGCACTACAAATGGGCAATTACGTCAATACTTGATGCGCCTGCCATCAACTGACACGTTTAAACTGCTGCATGTGCTTTGCTCCACAGTTTAGAAACTAATACTTCTTTCTGTCTTATCCATGTGAAAAGATTAAAAACAAATCCTTCATTGAAGTTGATAAACGTATTTCAAATCCTTTCGACCCAAAGATTGTTATCAGTGGTGAGTTAAATTTGCTGTCACCAAGCAACTGTCCCAAAATGGTTTCAGTGCGCGACCTTGACGTCTTCTTTTTCGGGGCACTGGGTTAGCTGCGTGCATATTGTCGGTCGACACGGACGAGGGCCTTACTATGGATTGTGAAAGTAGGAAACTGACGAAAACCTCCATTGTAAGTCTGGATTGCCAATGAGGCCGACTTTCAACGAAGCGATGAATGAAAACGCTGTAAATGCATGATCTTTAACCTTTCAATGCAAACTTGATTGTGGGTGATGGCATTGAACACTGTCCCGAAATATCTGTTTCCCATTGACTGATTTAACAACACCTTCAACAACAAAAACCCTTTCATTAATCTACCACAAAGCTATACATCCCCCCTCCATCCTGTTTAGACGGTCTTTGTAATGTGGCAACCATACGTGATAAAATGCTCTCCTCATTTCTCAACCAAAATTTCTCTTAGTGTTTCTGTCTTCCTCGTTTTCAGTTCTATTAATCCTCTGGTTCTGATCTTCGATTAAGAAACTTATTAGATTGCTTACATTTGGAGGATATCACCGCTGAATCTGAATGGTTGACGTGCATATAGACTTATAATGATGTATGTACCTTTTGCAGTGTTCATTTACATGTACATGTATAGACAAGGTCTATTGCAATAAATGATGCAATTTCGATGTATGGGCCAATTGAGGCTTATTTTTTTACACGCGTGTATATACATGTATGTGCACTGTTTTCGAAGCCAATAATTCTTCAGATGGGCCGATTGTTCCGTAAAAAAACAAGAAGGCCTATAGGCCTATTTCATTTTGAAACTGTAATTCACTTCTACCAAAGTACGGGAGGCAGAAATGTTGGATGGGATACTAGCTTAACGATTATGGTTGCACGTAGTATGGAAGACAATAGCACGTCAGGTAAAGTGGCTAATTGAATGTCGACGAATGTAAGGGCAGTTGGCAAATGACGGCACCTATATTCATAATTTATATCAGGTTTGTGGCGTGACATTTCGAAACCCGCAGTTTTGCAAATGGCGACCCGCATAATTTTAGCGCCTAGGATAAAGTATGCACATGCATATACATGTACATGTACGTGGTTGTAAAATTACGCAGTGTGTGTATTGTCAGTGTTTTCACGTGAGTTTAAATGGGCAGAAAAATCAAATGACTGTCAATAAGACCTTTAAAAGGAAACGGGTAAATGGTCCAGAAATTAACAGGGTCATTATTAAAACTAACACCAAAAGTACACCCAACATGGCTGCAATGTAAAAATCCTCCAAATTTCAAAGTTAGACACGTCTTTAACTGGGTGTTAAGGTTAAAAGAATTAAAAGAAACAAAAAAAATCGCACCAAACACTTCAATAATTAACACTTAAAACTTTTTTGCAACAATTATTGATTGGCTATATGTGGAAACTCTTGGTGATGTACAGTACGTGTCAGAAATATTTGTATGTTTCCGAGGCATCTATCCAGCTGAGCAGGCGTTTACTGGCTGGTTTCAACGTAGATAAATCTTAAACATGAAAAATCAGAGCACTGCTTTAGAACTATATTCTTGTCAAAACTCAGTGTCCTACTATTACTAGCGACTAAGTTATATACTGTACATACCGGTCGGTACAATATTTGACACCCTCGACTCGCACTCTAAAGTCACAAGTTTTGATCAGGTTGCCATGGGGACAGTTCTGTCTCACTGAACTCTAGTCATAAATTCGCAAAGCTCGGTTCCTGCGTCCCCTCTGCGATTTTTCGGCACAACCCTAATTTAGTTCCCAGGACTTCTGAACCCAAGCTAGGACCAAATTGAATCTGTAAAATGTAACAGCCCCACCGTTTTTGGCACCGCATAAGTACCTGACCATCTGTATATAAAAGAAACAATCTGGGCAAATCGGAATTGGCAAATTTCATTTTCAGGGATAACCTCACAGTGACCTGAGAAACAAGATGCCATATTTCAGGAGCCCAACGTATTTAAACATGAATACGTGTGCACAGTTGCAGCATAATACATGTAATAATGTTGTGCAGCTGTTGAAACAGCACAAATGAAAGGTACGTAGGCTTAAAAAAAAACTGTAAGTAACCTGCGCGAATTGGGTTAAAAGGCGCCATTTTGTGTATAGTCAGCAAATGCAGTCGACTCTCGTCGTTACCAGAATGTACATGTTTATACAGTTCATGCTACTGTTCGATATATTGGACAGCTGTGGACAGCACAGCTGTGGACAGAGTTGCGACAACTGCTGTAGTCATTTCTGGGTACAAAAAAAGGATCAGTGTACATGTACATGGCCTTCATGATGTGCCACGCGGTGTTCATTTAATCCAGTTTTTGTCCATGTAATGCAAGATGACGCAGCTCTTTTGGGCATTTGCATGTTGGATCGAGAGAGAGACTACACTAGCACGGCAGAAAATAACAATGGCCAAAACATACCGAGTGCAGCCTAAAATTGTTGACAATATGGCAGATCTGGAATGAGAATTTACACAGAGCAGCTCAGAGATTAAAAAAACCTCGCTAATTAAATTTGTGTGTTCAGCAAAAAATAGCAGGGGACCAGTCACGAACAGTAGACCGACACAAACTGTGACGTTTGGGAAGTAACGAAGCTTCTGCTTTATTTGCTGAGCAAATTATTTTATGCATTTGGCATGTTTCCCAGCTTAGCATCTGAATTAAGCTGGCCCTTGCTAGCTAGCCTACTTGCTTTGGTTTTGCTTGTAGAGTACTGGGTGGGTTTTGGAGGCCTATCGTGCACCAGTGAGAGGTTTACCCTAAAGGAATGGAAGACAATCCCATGCCATTATGACCATCCATTCATGAAAAAAACACATGCAGCTTCGGTTTGTCTGAGTTGTCGTTTAGCCGTCAATTAACCTTGGGAAGGTCAAATCGACCTCTTTTGTTATTAGGAGCGCTTTGATATGCAAAATATGAGGCTCAATATAAACGGAATGGGAATAACCATCTAGTGGCGGTAAAAGAACATGTAACATTTTGTTGAAATTATTCTGCTGTATTTTCAAAGGATGCCACATTTTACACACATTTGAAGTAACATTACATTAATTGCGAAATCAAACTAATCGAGACTCCAGTTTGACTGAAGCTTTATCATCTGGACACAAGCATGTGTCTTAACATTGGAGTCGATGACTTTTGATTCGAATCCTGGTGGAGGCGGGAGTCGCAAGTTGTGGAAAATCGATTCTCACTGTTTTCCCCAAAGCGCGCCTGATTAATGTCACCTAATATAAGGCCAACACTAAACAGTATGAAATATACTTTTTCTTGGTTTTTTGAACACAGAAGGCAGATCTCTAGGGATGTGAGAAAATCAAAGTCACCACCTCGTCGTTTGCTTAAAGCATGTGTGCCACAACCTTTGGCTTACTTTCAGTCTTGAATTTATTTTCCATTTTTGTAAAGCCCAGGCAACGGTAAGAAGGGTGATGTCAGCGTCCTACATTCTACGAGCTTGGGAAGTGAAGTGCTTGTTGGCTGTACCATGACAGTGTGCCCAACAGCTTAAATCTTAAGTGTGAAACCACGACATGCACTAATTTAAACTCCCCGGCCCAGAGTCTGAAATAACACTGTTCTCAATCGTTGTCCAGTTTAAATTGATACTTTTCGTGGTCGGCATTTCTTGTTCTTGCTTCGACTGACAGAGAAAAGTTTCATTTCGACCTGGACAATGACTGAGCCAATTTAAAGTTAGATTTGGAGTCGATTTCGGGTCGATCTGGCCCTGGATCTTTTTTTAAATGTTACATCTGCCAACAATTGGTAGTCCAATAGGAATACTCACCTAGAAGGATGGGTGCTTCATTTTTGCGTACGTAGTCGTCAATATAGGTCGTTCCAAGCGCAAACATAGAGGTGGAGCCGGCACCAATAAGAAGCATTCCGGGGATAAGGAAGGCCAAGGCTGTTGTCACGGGCTCCTGAGAACCCTGACACTCCCCGCCTGGGGCCTCGGTGGGCTGCGCTGCGGCGGCCCCAGGGTCCGAGCACAACAGGGACTCGGTGGAGTTGTCCGAGGAGTGTACGGCGTAGTTACCCGTGACGAAATGGGACAGAGGCACAATACAGGCTCCGAAGGACATGACCCAGGCAGACAAGGCGATCCACTGGGGCCGGTTTGCGGAGGGCCGTCCCCCGTAGTAGCTGGTAAAGACGACTAGCAAGGTCCCGATGTCGTAGCAACTCACCACAAACCCTGCAAAGACACACAAGCAGACTTCAACTGCAATCCATAAATTATAGCCCGTTTCCCCCTTCATATAGGCCACATTATTTGCCAGTTCAAACTTTTAACGATGCAAAACCAAAATTCACCTCTACAAAAAATGCTGCATTCTCCACAATTCAGAATTCCAGACAATGTTCTCAGAAAAACGAAAAAAAATTGTGCTCATTTTATCAAGGGACTGTTTTCATTTTCTAGTAGACGACACCAGGAGTGGCATTAAATTTAAAAAAAACTATTTTCAACTTCAACTTGGAATTCGTTTCAACCTCATTACGAAGTGGCTGAAGCGTCATGCGCATTTCCCCCAAACACATTCTTCACATCTTTCTTCGGCAATTGTCAAATCGGATGTCACAAATCACTGAAATGACATAAGGCTGGGTAGTATACCCAGAAGAATTACTACAGGGGTCCAAAATCTTGGCAACCTTATCAGAATGTCTTAGTAAAGAATAATCGCCACTCGCCTGGGCCCACTTTACTTGCCCTAAGATTAGCCCACACTGAGTCTTTGCTCCCCGCTGGTTGAATTTAACAAGCATCTCCATCCGTTGCCATGGCAACGGACCCCTATGCAATAAAAGGCATCACTGACGAGAAATGGTTGCTGCAGAACTGAAGCAGAGATTTGTGTTAGCACGGCTCACGAAGCCGAGAATTATCAAAACGTAAATGTAACACGGATACCTTCATTGTGAACGTAACAATGGTCGCTCAAGGAAAAATTATCCGTTTGTTTTACAACAGCTGTTACAGCCGGTTCACATAATAATAATTGATTCGTGTTGACAGTACTATCCTTGTAAAAAGAAGCTTAGGTATACAAGTACGCGTAAACAGTGATTTTTTTAAATAAAGGACAACTTTTAAATGTGTGCAAGAAAAGAAAATAATTTCGAGGTACATATATCATTATATCGAGCCTAAATGTTGTTAAGGCCACATTTAAAAATACCTTTGGCGTCGAAAGTCTGAATTCTGTACTGTATACAGTGCGGTACAGTAAGCCTTTGAACATTCGTGGTATTTCATTATATTGTAATACACTATTATGAACGTAATATTTTACTTTCAAAAGGGTGTGGTTTTTGAATGATGTCCGCAAACACAAAATGATTGAATGGGTGCAATCTTTCACGTAGGATATGGGAAGATATCTGTCACACTTTATTTGTTGCCAACTTGCATCTAGGCCTAGATTTTATTCGTGACTTTTCATGTAAAGTGAACCCTGCATAACCTGCAGTGTGGAATAAACACTCTCGGTGTCAATGTGAATGCCGACGGTGTTGAATAAACACCCAAGCTTTACAGCGTATATTCTACAGTGCTAACAGGATGTACCTGTTAGCGTGCTGCTGAAGTTGAAATTCCGTTCGATGCTGGTGACGATACTGCTGATATATCCAATCGTAAGTCCTGCCTCGGCCAGTGAGAGGAGACTGCAGAAAAGTACGAAGAACCTCCCGGTGGCTAGGCTCTGTAGACACCGGGGTCTCCAACAGCAGTAACCACAGGAGTCCTTGTTCTGTTCTTGGTCGGCTGCCAGCACGTTCCCATTCATCACCCCATCCACGTACACTTGTGGCACGATGTGGTTGCGCTTGGGCGAGCTCCGGTACGGGGACCCCGTCACCGAGCTGACGGCAGCGTCGACTACTGGGGTTGACCCGGGGAGGGCCAGGGGCAAGTCCCCGTCGTCCCCGCTGGCGTCAAAGGCAGCGTTGGAGTAACCATTCTGGAGACCCTGTTGACCGTTAGCGGCCATGGTGCTCAGCCTGTTTGTTGCTGTGACTCCTTCGTACCTGCTCCCAGAGTCTATTGATACCGTATCTAAGACCATTCAGGCCTGTGTGTTGTCATTCGGCAAACAATCATATTTAGATTGCACAAAGCTAAATCCTTCAGGTTAAATACTGCTCTGATCCCGGCTTACATGTACACACGTGCACATGAGTACACGACGACCGTACATAGAACGCAAAGCCTACACTATCACTCGTAACTAGGTGCAACACTCAGCGCAGTTATTCCAACTCGTGGTTTCGTCGTATCTTTCCACAGGAGAAAACCGTAACTCCTTCCCCGTAAGGTTCACGCTGTACGCGCACTAGATGCTTTTACTAGGGATGACGCATCAATACAACACATGCAGCGAGTCCGTGATCCATTTTATGTCCGTACAGGCCTTACAGACTGGCGAAAATTGCTCAGCACCGTGCAAGCATCTCACAACTCACTGATAAAAAACGAATGTTAATCATTAATCGCAATCGGAATCAACGAGAGCCTGTGCATTTTGCTTGTGTAACACTGGGAACGGAGGGCTCCTCTTGCGGCCAAAAACTGGGAGGCGTAATATGGACGGAAAACTCTTTCACATCAGGTGGTTATGATGCCTGCCTGCTGTGCCATCTGTGGACGGACATGAATAACCCTCTTGTGATGCAGATGAATGAGTTCGGTCATGCGCGACGCGTATATTGTGTCCCGCCGTACGAAGCTCTGTGTGTTAGGCACGCTTGCACATAAATGGATGAGGGGCAGGAAAGTCAGAAAGTCCGTTGACTTGGTATAGCTTAAATAAAAAAAAAGGCTGTTTTGGCAACTAACCCAACAACATGTTCATACTTTGTGCGTGTGCACGTAGGCCTATCTGCAAGGCTATGGTGTACCCAACGTATCGTAACAATTGTCACTGCCCAATGCTAAATCGACAGCGAATAAAGAACTCGAATCCTCTTTGACCAGTGACCACTATTTTAAGATATACATGTACTTGTGCGTCACCGGCTCAGACTTTGACTTCATTTTATTGCATTTCTCGCCTAAACTGAGCAACCATGTTTTGAATGAATAAATCTGAAGAAACTGTTTCTTTAACTCCGGGTGGAAAATTCCGGGGTGCCTTGCAAGAATGATTGTTCCGTTGGAGTAAAATATTTTCTAGGTTTTCATATCTCTGCAAAAATCACCGGTCAAAAGGGAGAAATGTCCCACGCATGCAGTCATGCAAGTCATGCTAGTCATACATCTTTCTCTTCCAAGACAATATGTCATAGGTCACCCAAAAGTAATCTGTATGTGTCAACAGCAAAGTCTAAAATGCAGTAAACTATCTTTAAGTACATGTAGGTCCGCCAGAGATATTATTTACTTCCTTGATTTTTGGTGTTTGTGAAAATTGAATAGGTAGTCTGTTGACCTTCCCGGAAGTTCCCAGACCTGTATTAGTGGTTCGATGAAGTGACCATGCTCATTTTCACTCAGACTACTGACGTGCTGGGTACTTTATCGTAACCCGGCCGTATTGCACAGAAACGTGTACAGGTCCCTCATACTTCTGACTTTTTAGGGTTAAGTGTGCAGTAATGTTCGCATGAATTCCTTTAACAAAAATGTCAAAGGAAAAAGAATGATTTTAAAAATCGTTGAAAGTTCATTACAAACGAATATAAAACAAAGCACCAATTTACAATAATTTAAGTTACCAATTACTACATAAAAAGTTATCATAAGTATTTTAAAAATCCCAAAGTTCCTGAAATGTAATCTTATGGAAATTTATTGATGCCGTCAACTCCAGTCCCTTTGAATATCAGCAGAAACAATTGAAAGTGTTTGATATCCTTATAAACACTTAGCTATATTTTATGAAATTGCTTCCTCTCTGCAGATAAAAGTGTCTGTGATATAGTGTGATGTGATTTTGTTCAGGCTTTATGGCTAAAAAGTTTGACAGATTCATAAGAGCAATTTTCAATCAGTTTATTGACATTTCTGTTAATTTAATCTGCGGAAAAGGTGATTAATTAGGATAATATCTCTGCCTTTGCTCTATGCAGGAATGAAAGTGCACTTCTCGAGTGGCTTTGCATCTTCGACACAATGGTAGGGAAAATTGGAGCGGTCTGTCTGAGTCAACCCCCTCCCCCATAAAAAGAAAATCATTATCCATTCCGACACACTTTTTTACCCAAGCAAAACACTGATTAGCCCGGGCGAATCGCTAATCTGTCCGGCGAAACACTAATCTTCCCAGGCGAAATACTTATCCGCCCTGGCGAAATAGCAGTTCACTTTTTTCAGTCATGTCCTAAATACGCTTCTGTAGTACTGTTCGTAATCAACGCTGTACAGGGTGCAGTGTCCCAATTCATGGAACTTGAAGATTCTCCGCTGGGCTGGGGCACAAAAGTACCCCTACAGTTTCTTTCGAAAAGAGGGGTCTGTTTGGGCCAAGAAATGATGGAATTGTGTCAGTTTGGCTCAGGATCATCTCTGTAGATTCAGGGGCACCCACCTGGGGGCAAAGCAGACAAAAATGGGATTGAAAATTAGTCAGAAGAGCCCCAGGAAGGTGAAAAATGGCCGCTGGGAAGACTTGGGAACATTCACTTTTTGGGGGGCGAGTTTGTTTTTGGCGGATCATTAAAAACATTCATTGAAAATTAAATGAAATCTAAAGGACCAAACAACATATTGTTTTTTGTTTGAGAGGCCTCAAAGACTTCAGTTGCCTGCCATGGGGCTCCAAACTTGGTTGATTTTACACTATTTCAGTGGAACTTGAATTGGTTCAGTGCACCCTACACTCGTTACTATTGGTTGATACCCACTATAGGTCACGTGATTTAGCGGGCGCAATCAGTTTATTCCCGCCAGTTTGTTGAAGGGCATTCTATTTATCCACTGCTTGTTTGGTGATGAAGAAGTGTGGAATTCGAAGTTATTTTCGAACCTTCCAATCACCAAATTGTATAAGATAGTATTTAAAATCGGAGGACAAATGCTACTGAAACAATGCACTGTTCTGATGTACGGTCGAGACAATTTTGAGCGCCTATGGGTACAGTCCACTAATTCAAGCCCCATTGAAAACAGTGTAAAATCAGTACCGTTCAGGGCCCAATAGCATGCACGCCAACATCCCTGAGATTTCTGAAATACAAATGAAATTCTTGTCTGGTCATTTATCTTTCAGTTTCTTTTCAATTTTTTGTGGGTTAACCAATTGCATTCTTATTTATTCCCACAAAAGGNGGCAAACCCCAGTCAACTTTCTCGGACACTTAGGACCATTTTCAACAGTAGTTTTAGTCCTTCTGCTCTCATATGAAAACTCAAAGACCCAGGGAGTTGATCATGGCAACAATTTACACAATCTCACCATTTTGAGGGCCAAACAATCTCCTTTTTCAAAAGATACTGTGGGGGCACTTTTAATGCTAATGAGCTCGTCAGAAATTCTCACTTGAATTAATGGTCTACACCCCTATGTGTTGTGAACAACGCCCTCTAGTGTAAGGTGGCATCCACCCTATGCATCCTTTTTTTTCAGTTCGGTTCCATGACCTGAAGATTCCCTGACGATTCTTAATAAAATCTTTGGTCAGGTATAAACCATGATTAAATATAGCTCATGGCACAACATTTCAGGGGTCACTAGGAAAGCCCCGTTTTTGTCACGAACGTCATGCAAAAAAATAACTTCCGTGGTCTCGGCTGGAACCCTTTTCGTTTATTTATTTTATTCTCAGGGATAGGCCCATACTAAACACAATTCACAACAACACAAAATAAAGAAGAAATTATTTTTAAATTGAGACAGACAAAACATTTAACAGAATAACAAGCTGGCCCCGCTGGATTGCCACCCAAAACATATACATGTATTTCAGTAGATGCAGGAGTTGTCCATTTAATACGTCGGTCACTTTGCTTTGTGCAGTATTTACCGCCGTTAAAATACATCAATCATGACTGTCGACGTTTGTAAAGCATGTTTGACTTACATTCATTACATCACATACGTTATAACACTGCCGAAAATGTCCCACCAACAAAGATACTATCTGAATGTTATCAATGATGAGTTCGGTGTATTTGGGATGTATTCGGAAATCAGAGAACTTCCTTCTTTTTTGTCACGTGGCACTGAACCATTGAATCGATAGGAAGTAATCAGATTCATCAGTCTGGTAACCAGACTAGTCTTCAAATTTGTTGTTTTATTTTAATGGCACTTTCAGCAACTCAGCCTATATTGTTTAATTATACACTTTATTAATCAGCATCACATTACGGAGTTGGGAAGAAGGTCCAGTTTTAGAGGCAGGAGGAAACCGGAGTACCCGGAGAAAACCTGCGAGAGCGAGTATGGATTGGAAACCAAATGCACTTAAAGCCTGGGCCAAGCCGGGGGACTCCAACCCAGGCCTCATTGGTGAAAAGCGAGGAAAGAACCGCTACGCTAACCCGCTCCCCTCAACTAGTGTTTTTTTTATTGCCACTGTCTGGTGTTTTGCCGGTCAGTATACCTCAAATCGCACACATGCCATACGAACAGCAGCATGGAAATCTCGCAAATGATCATCTAGGATATTTGGTGGATAGTCTGACAAAACAAACAGTGAAAGTCTGACGGAAAAACTCAAAGAGACATTTGCCACTGCCGAATCTCTCAACACATCGGACGCATCAGTATGTTACGCACATATCACCATCATTTATTCTGCGTGTATCTGACGATGATGTCGATGATGTCAATATCGATGTCGATGATGGTTCAATCTACGCAAAGAGAATTAACATCCAATCACTAATTTAAACTAAACTTGATAAGCAATAGTTAAGATTTGTATAATTTAAATCGGATTACTTGTGGTAAGGTGTAAATTCTCGTACAACAATTTCCAATTCATTCATTATCATTGAAAGAGAATAAAGAACACTTACGACATTGACCTTATCCAAGAACAAAAAGTGGCAAATTCCCTTATTCAACTTCGAAACTGCAGTAACTGACGCTGTAAATGACAAAGTGATTGTAGTACAACGGTGTATATATGAGAGAAAACCCGGCTACCACAATTGAATTATAATATTCAATCTAATAAGTACTTGTAAAGGTATTTGGGTCAACTGGCTAGTGTCACCCGGGTCAGGTCTACGGAGGGCCATACAGAGGGTCGAAGGAAAATCTCGTACTGGCAAACCACATGTTGGTCCGTCAATTTCGTGCAAAGGGTTCTGCATATACAATATCTGTACTTGAATTGAGTTAAGTTGACAAACCCCACTCAGATGGAATTATTAAACAACAACAGCAACCAGACAATCTAACTTTACAGAAAGTATTCAGCATACATCCTTCACTCCTAAAATAACATTACATAATCAAAGGTTTATAGATGATTACGTGCACCACACTTTGTGAATACGTTGAGAATAATAGTAATACAGGTCATGTGTTTAATGTAGGTTTACCAACCTGTGTTAGTTAAAAACAAAATGATACAAACACAGTTTAATTCAGTTCAGTTTAATTAATAAGGCAGACCCATTAACATTTCTTTTAAATTGAATGCTCCCTTATGATCCTCATTTGAACATCAAAAATTGTCATTCGGTTTCGTTATTTGAGCAGTAATTTGTTGAATAAATTGATTAAAATTTCAAATACTGTAGTTGTTTATTCGTTCGTTCCAATTC